TGTTAATCCTTTCACAGTTCTTTGAACAAATATAACCTTTGGAACATGAGCCCTCCTCAGCTCAACGGTGTAATTTTAGTTTTTGACTTTAGGAAACCTGTTCAATCACAACTTGTACATTTTGCCAATCTAAGTATGTTACAATAAACAAAACGGAAGACACTATAAAGCACAGATACAGCATCAGAGGGATCTCTTCAGGGGCCACAGCCACTTGTTTTTAAATCATAATTATAGAGTCACACTTTTCTACGAACAGAACAAGCTCTGCAGACACTTGTCTTCAGTGATTTTCTAAGTTTGTACGTTTGCATCGCAAGGACGGCTATGAGGTTAGGTTACAGAATATCTACAGGCAATTTACGTCTTTCAAACTTGCTATTGTGTATCTTGTGCTTTGTTTAATTCCCTTTGTTGGATACTATCCTGCGTCATTTTATCCTGTGCTGGTTTTTTTCTTAGATCAAAGTAGGCTCATTCTCTGTAAAGGCTTTTTCAGATATACTTGTGAAGGGCTCAATAAAAAGAGTGACTTTTAAATCAGATACAATGGATTTTATTAAAACGTCCTTTGAGAAAAACAGGTGCTTAAGAAACATCTAATGGCTTTAAGTTGTCAAATGTGACAAGCGATGATTTTATCTGTGTATTGTATTGCCTTCTATTGAGGTAGTTTTGTTTTGAATTCTGCTCTTCATTGGGGTCATCCTGTAGCCATTCCATTTGCTGATTTCTATATTTGCTCATCTTGCTGTGTTTCAGAATCATACAGCTTGTCTTGTCCTTTTAAAATGAATGAATGAACACTGTGCCCTACATGAAACAAAATAAATCTTTCTCACGGTCTGGAGTTTTATATTACATTTTTACAACCATAAAATGAATGAATGAGTTATACCAATTACTCCAAGGCCCTGAAAGTTTAAACTTACACAGGGCCCATACTAAAATTCAGAGAAATATCATGAAGCTGTTAAAGAGGAGGGAGATAGTCAGGAAGCTGGAATTTCCACCAAAGACAAATGCACTGTTTACCAGTGAGTAGCTGTGCAGACAAATGGTTATCCAGCCGTTACCTTTCCTTACTCTAAGGTTAAAATATTAAATGTGTATTGATGCATGATCATCATCGTCATCAAGTATGGTGCTATATAACTGTAAAGTGATTCAACTCCAGGAACTACTCTCTTACTGTACCATCTTTTTATCTCTCAAGAAGTCAGCCATCTTACTCATCTCCCCTTACCAGCATACTCTAGAATACTTCTGAGTGATATTTCTGTTAATACCATTTTTCTCAATTCAGTTAACATCACTTCTCTTTCTTCCCCATACCTCTTACATGATACAAGTACATGCAGTACTCTCTGTAATAAAGGCTGTCTCCTGCTCCCAGTACTGTTGCCACAGTTTTATCTTTACCTCTATGTCTCTCTTTTTAACAGCTTCCTTCGGCAATTTGTTCACCTTTTAGTTGCTCGGAAAGCCAATATGTGCTGGGACCCATGAGAAAGTAACCTCACTGTCCTTCCGTGTTACTCTATTGAGTGCTAACAGGGTTTCATGGACGAGGTCAGGCCGACTCAGTGATGAGCCAGACCCAGTACGGTAAATTGCCAACAATGAGTCACTACATACCAGTATTTTATTTGAAGCTGTTCAATCCTGGACTGCCACCAAAATAGCATACAGCTACAGTCATCATTCAACCCCAGGACTACCAAAGCAGCTCCTGTTCCATCTGCTACTGGATCCTTCAACCCGTCTATGTAGATTAGAATATGATCCTTGTATCCATTTTTTGTTTGGCAATAGTATTCATTCATATAACTTTACCTTTTTATTCCTCACTCTGGCTTTGAGTAGCTTAAGATTAACTTTTGGGGTCCCTAGCAGCCATAGTACTGGCGCTTCAGCTTGAACTTTGTGCAACTCAGACAGCATTGATTTGGATTCTGATTTCTCTGATCAGAGAAAAATAAATAAATATGTTTCAGTGATGTTGTGTCTGCTCCCCACTCTAATCCTCCATCCATTTGACTTTTTTTAATGTGCACCCTCCATCTTCTGGAATCAAATTGAACCCCAGGAACCAAAAATCTTTAACTCCAAATTATTGCCATAATCGTTTAAACTGGACGTCTGCCCCAACTTTCGAGTAAAAGAGTAAAATAGTCTTTGTCTTCTCCATTGAAAATTTAAAGTCACATTTACCTCCACACCCTTGTTATACTTTCTTAACAATAAAATATACTTCTCCCTCTTTTCTATAGACTGCCATCATCCGCAAAGAGCAACTGTCCAATTGCTGGCTGAATGATTACAAATATACCATTGATCATGACTGAGAATAAAATAGGGCTTATTGCCTCCCCTGGGGAGTTCCATTCTCCATCACTTTGCTTTTACTGGAAATTTCTGATCCTCTTTTAATCTGGATACTTCTACCATTCAGAAAATCCATTACCCAGTTAAATATATTTCCTCCGACTTCCATTAAATAGGACTTAATTAGAAGACAACTCTCCACAACATTTTGTGTGCCTTCCCTACATCAAAGAATATGGCAACCACAGAATCTTTTTTAACGTTCTTTATTTCACCCTTCACACATAGTACTGGATCATTAGTACATTTTCCTTTTCTAAAGCCACTTTGGTAAATAACTAAACTTTTTTCTTCAAATGGTGCATCAGTTTTTAATCTACTAGGGTTTCCAATAACTTACAAATACGTACTGCAAGGCTAAATCTATACACACACACACACACACACACACATATATATATATATATATATATATACACATACACACACATATATACAACATATATTTTATCCTTACTTGGGGCTGAGTTCTTTCATTCTGTCAGAGCTCCAGGGTAAATGGGACATAATACTCATCCTTTGTGTTATCTTTCCTCTGTAAGGCCTCAGCATTCTCCACTCTTGTTCTCAACCTTTTCATCCAAGAATGCCGTTTGATCTGAGCTTGCTTGTGAGCTTATTAATGTGCTTGTATGAGTTATCTTTATCATTCTGAATGCTCTGTTTCCTATTCTTCACCACCTCTTTGCACAGATCTACCTTTAGTTTTTGTTATGGCAATTAACACTGCTCTTCTAATACCTTCTGTCATTTCATTTTCAAGTTTGTCTCCTCCTAAATGTGTCCTACATGGCTCTCATTTTCTTCATTAAATTTCCTTTTTAAAAACCCAATGTAAACTTCTGTTGTCGTTGACCAGAATTGTATTAACATTATTTTGCATATCAGGTTGATGGTCACATGTTATGGGAACCCCTTCATATACCTCTGCACTTTGGGACAATGCTATTAGAAACAAGGGGACACACAGTAGCTGACCTGGTAGAACGCATACCCCATGTAGTTTGGGTCTCTATCACAGTGGTCCTGGTTCAATTACAGCCTGTGGCGCATTGCTGCAGGTTGTCCCCTCTCTCTCTGCCCCCTTTCTTGTAAATCTTCACCTGTTCCATCAAATGAAAGCATAAAAAGCCCAAGAATTTATATAAAGTGTAAGGTCCAACACAGACTAATTTCTTGCTCTAAAATCTTCCCACTCAAACACACCTGATTACCTCCATTTAATACCTCCTCCACTACTTGCCCATTGTTGTCTGACTTTCCACTGCCCCATTATGTGTGTTGTGTACATTAAAGTCTCCACACCAAATAACATTAGTTCTGTTCTGGCCATCTGATTTCTCTAGTATACTTAACTCTAATTGTTCCCATTGATTGTAATAGTTTATCACCACTAGCACCTTAATCACAAACCACACCTCTACAATAATAGTGTTCCTAAGTGGCGCAAACCAATTTTCCTGGATACTGTCTATGAAGTGGTGCCCATCGCAAACTTCTTTAAAGGATTAGCATTATCAGTAGTATTATCCCACACCTGACAACTTTTGGCTACTGAAACAATCTTATATTTCTTCCACTTTCAGACACATCATGTCTAAGTAGTGCACTGCTTCTTTTACAATGATTTGATTCTTTTCTGTTTTGGATTTCACTTCAGCTCTTGCATTCTCTATTATAAAAGTAACCTGGTTTATCTTCTTTCCGTATATACTTTTCCTTTGTTATCTCCATTGCATCTTGCTCCCTCCTGACTCTCCCTTCACTCACCTGCTCGCTTGGACAAGCCCTCTTTACTGCCTCTCCATACGAGACCTTCTCTTTCACTATTATCACGTGTTGGAGTTTAACCTCATGTTTCATTACTTCACTTCAACTACAGCACTTTGGTTTCACCCCCTCTGCACAATTACCATACTCGTGACTCCCCCAATGCACCTTGCATGCTTCCTTTCCCTCTGGTCTTAGACATCACATGCGCAAATTTGACATTTGAAACACCTCACTGCCTTTGGTACATATTAAACTACAGCCTGTTATACCCCTGTGCTCATCTTAACTTAAGTCACAACAGATCCTTAGGTTTTCACTTAGCTCCTTCATACTTTACTTTGAGAGGATTTCCACAGATCACCTTCTTACACCCTGTTGTCCTCCCTCCCCCCCAACTTTCACTACTTTAGTTACTTTGATTTTGTCAACCTTGTTCATCTTCAATGCTTTTTCAACCTCAGCCTCACTCTTACACCCTATTAGCATGTTTGCACCCTGCTAAAGCATACTTCCCCCACCTGGCTAATGGTCATTTTTGTCAACTTTTTCAAACTCCTCCTCCTCCTTCAAGCCTCACAACTTCATTCAATGACACAACCCCCCACCCCTCTTCAGATCCAACACTCTCTGATCCGCCATTATCTTCCTTCTTGCCCTACCCCCCACTTCTTCTCCCCAACATCAAAAAGTTTTATTCAGTCCGTGGTTAACTCCAGAGTAAAGACAAAGAGAGGCACACTCAAACCATTCACCACAACCATACCACCTATCCCCTCGTTGATCTCTTTTCACCTGCATGTCTCCAAATAAAAGGGAGGCGGAGTCATGCTGGTACACTCGATTGGCCTCAACCTGTAGACCTGTCTGCGAAGAGGACAGAGGCAGCAAGGGAGGGGTTGCTGCCGACATAATTACAATATAGAGCAGTGAACTATCTGTAGACAAACCACCAAAAAAAAAAAAAACAGAGAGATATATCTTCCCTCGACTGTGCTCTGAAACCCTTACTTACCAGATGCTAGATATCTGTCTGCGGCGTTGAGGGGAAAGCGCATGTTTAATGGCATTTTGGAAGTCTCCGCGGCGCTCTCCGGGTAGAAGAGGAGACATTACGGCGCGAGTTAGCTAACGTTAGCTCGCCAACAAGGTCAGTTTGAATTTTGGGTTGTGTCTCTTTTTCAGCACTGGCATCGTTTAAAATGCCACCGTCGTCATCCACGCTAACTCGGCTCATGTACATAATTAGCTGGGACTCCTGTCGGCTGTCAGTGCAGGTATAACCGGCTATTTATTTTTTTTTGTCATACACTCTTGTCGGTTAGCTTGTTGGTTAGCCTCACTCGGTGGCTATCATCGCCTCAGTCCGTTCGCTCTCATTCGACTTTGGTGCTCGACGTTTTTGAAAGTGATGGCTCACGTTAACATCGCCTAATGGAGGTTATTGTCAAGGAGCGAGCGTTTTGTTAGGAACTGCATCGACAGTGCAGCCTTGACAGAGCAAATGTTAGCTGGATGTTTTATTAAAAGAGGGCTAATGCATTAGTGTGGTGGATGTACCCAGCAGCAGCAGCTCGCCGCTTGTGTCCGCCTAGAATAAAACAGGTGCATCCCTGCGCTAGCGATGGCCAGATGTAGGATAGCACTTATAGTTAACGCTGGTTCTGGATTAACAGTTTGTCATTGTTTTGGGGGGGGTAGCATTTTTAGGGATTCATATTTTCATAAAGACACAGTTTACTCAGTGTGGGTTCTTAAATGATTTATCAAGGTTGAACGGCGAAGGTGGCGTTATCATTTACAAAGGCCTCGTCTGCCGACTCCAGTAGAAACGGGGGCAGTTGAAACGGGCCCGGTAGCTAACGTTTTAGTTAGTTAGCTACCGTTAGCTACCGTTAGCTGTGTGACAGCAACTGACTACCAACTGACTACTGAGACACTAACTGCCGGCAAATCCTAAAAACATTTGACTTATGATAGCAGTGTTTTGTTTAACCGCACATTATAAACTATACATCTGTTGTCAGGAACCACAGGGTCTATTGTCGTGGATGATGTTACATTTGGGAAGGGCTGGTTTTAGCTTTAACTTACTATTGTGTTAGCGGTTTTTTTTTTTTTTTTCTTTTTCTTCCCCCTTCAACGTGTTCAACGTTACAGCAGATCCACTAACGTTAGCTTTGCTTTAATGTTGTGTTGTCTGTATAATATAACGAATATTTGTAGCTAAATTAGTAACCTCACAATCATTAGCAGTTGAACCTGTAACTAAATGAAGATTACACGAGTTCAGAAAATGTCACTTGTTGGTGAGCTTTACAGAGCAGTGGTTTAGCGTTGCTTTTGTTTTACACTCGAAACTTTACTCTTGCTTCATGCTTTGGATACCTCCACGAATTTATCAAAATACACAGTAGTTGAATGGTTGACTTGTAACACTGGGTTTTGACAGCATACAGTAGTTCTCCAGTAGCGTTAAACGACTTGCTCTCAGGTCGACATGCCGGGTTAGACTTTGACTCAGCCAAGGCCGATTTTGTGTTTTCTCCCCACATATTTCATTACTTTGTCGAAGAGTGTAGAGGGCAACACAAGGGAAACATCCAATTGCAAAGCAAGCTTGTCTTGTGGATATGTTTGTTATTCAGCTCATGCACTATCTAGAGGCTGCTGGATGTGGTACGTCAATTCAATTGGCCCTGAGTGCCACTGTGCATCGGAGCCCTAATTATTTTTGATGTTTTTCAAGTTTTAACTACTGTTGAACTGCAGACGGCATGGATACCATGGTTGTAAACGGTTTCGTCCCTGCAGCAGTGCAGGCCTCAGTGTGAATTGGGCAGAAATCACCCTCACTAAAGCCTGTATCGTTGTACTATTTACCATACATTAAAAAAAAGAGTAAAGAAATAGAGGGGTTTTAATAACTGCTCAGTTGAAAATGATAGAAGTTGTATTATACTCAACTCCCAAATAAATATGTAAAATTACACTTTTATGTTAGCCTTTGTCTTAGCACTTGGGTTTTTTGAAACTACATTTCTTAAATATTTTAGCAAGAGTGCCATATAGCTCAGCCCCGGTGCCATCGTAGAGAAATGATCATGATAATAATAATGAAATGATAAAAAAAGGGCACAGTTGTCTCCACTGTTGGCAATGTGGATTGCATTTTGTTTTGTTTTTCAAGAATTAGACCTTGAACATGTGCTCTATTTGTATACCACTCTATAGGCACTATGGCTTCATGTTTACTCTTTTGTGAAGCCTTGTTTTAGCTGTCAGCCTTATCCTCAAATGACATATCCTAATTACTTTTGAGGTTTACTCATCTCGTAACATTCTGTTATTTGTATAATAATATTGTTCATTTAAACTGCATGTTGAAACACTGCAAATCGACACATTTAAAGTTTCATATTTCTTAATGGGATGTTGTTTTAATTGGATTCTGAATTACTCACACACTGTGAAATGAGAACGTGATTCAATCTAGGCCACATTGTGGAGAGCTTACTTTGATGCTCAGATTTTGCTTTTTTCCAACGTGTGTGGCAACAGCCTGAGGTAAGGTGTAGTGGCTCATTCTGAATTAAAATAAGCTTATGGGTAAACCTATTTTCATGTTAATGTTTGTGTTTTATGTATATGGATAGATGAATCAAGCAATATGTTTTGTTTTTACACAGCTGGCACATTGTAAGCCATTTAAGATTCAGCCCTTAATTACTCTTGCAGGACCTTGTGTCTTAAAGAGACTGCTTAGTGTTTTTTTGTTTTTCGTCTTTCTAGGATCTCCACAAGAGGATTGCACATGGGGAGAAGGGCATGTGATATAAATCCCACTGAACTAACTCAGTAGATTAAGATGCCAGATAAGGTGCATGTCAGGACCTGGTTAATGGGTTTGGTGACTCGGTACTCTCCCTGTATTTGTAAGTAGGTGGCAAAATGTGAAATTAGCAAAACAGATTACTGGTGTGTCGCAACTTTTTCAGAATTTTTTCATTTTTTCTTTCTGCATATATATCTTGGGTCATATTTGAAATGTTATTTCTTTGATATGTCCATCCAGCTTTTCAAACTGCAGCATGGTGGAGGGTATAGGAGCCCTGTGGATGTGAACTGATTGTATGTTATAGTTTTCCCACCTGGTAGTCTAGTAATAACAGCCCAATTCTGTGCCAGAAACACCACACTATATACTTGCAGTAGACATTAATCATTTACACTGGAGGTAGAATACATAGATTACACAATATAATTTGTTTTGTCTTGCTGTACACCACCATAGAGATGCTGGCTCCTTACAGATCTGACCAGATCAGAACAATGTGGGCAGTCATTGTAAAAGGGAGTGAAGGAGTGGTGCTATACTATACATCCACAGAAATCAGAGTTGAAAGAGTAGCTGTTAGTGGTACGAATTTGGCAGGTTAACAGGTGAATATTGATTTGTCACGTATAACGTAGTCTATATTTTAATAGTGGCAGTGCTAGGTTATCTTTGGTTAAAATAGAAATAAGTGACCAAACATTCAATTTGTTTTGGCATAACTTAAATTATACAGTCAACACATGCTTACAGAAGGCTATGTTAAGAAAAACTCCTTGCTACTCATTAAGTCTTTCAAAACGTTATCCTTTCCTTTCAGTCTTGTCCTTTGCACTGAGGCTTTGGTATTATAGTTAAAGGCTCTGAAAACCCTAAAAGGGATGTTCTGATCTATTTTTTTGTTTAATTTGTGACAAATCTCAGCTACTAGATTGAGGTCTGTACATAATCTGCAGGATTTCCGACCATTACTGCCAATTCCCACAGAAATTCTGATCACTCCCACCTGCAACAATGTATTCTATTGAAAATCTTTCTGCCCCATTCGGCAGGGAAAATAGTCACTCAACTGTTTAATAAGCGCCCTTTTAGAATACATGAATTGCAAACAAGCCTTATTAAATGGGTTGTAAAGGTAAAAAAAAAAAAAAACAGCTGCTAGGGAAGTAAAGCTGAATAAAATGTCATTTTGCCCTAGTTTTTTAGAAAGTTGATGTCATTTCCCACAGGAACCGATACAAACCAGATGTTTGCATATCAGTCGACAGAGCAGCAGGGATAATGTTGTTGGAGAGGGTATTTTAATGTTCAGGTTTTAAAAATGTATATGATCGATTGTCTGATATGAGAGAGAGACAGAGTGAGTGAGCGAGCGAGCTTGTCTTTAATTGCTGCTGCATTTGGTGGTATACAGTTTACCATGCATTTGCATGCACGGTTGATTTCAATAATGACTACCTCTCATTATGTTCATTAAATTTTATAGCTTATCCCAAACCAATGAGGCTTAGCTTCTGGTCTATATTAGGGTAAATACATGTATATTTCGTGATTGCGGGGGTCAGTTCTAAAAGTATAAAACATTCTTGGAGGGATGGCTTCTGTACAAATTGACCACACTGATCTCATGATGTGGACCAAAATGTTTATTAGCCAGTATTTACTAAGAGCCTCTGTTTTGGAACAATTTGGAACAGCCAGTATTTTGAAGTGTACAAGTTGACGTCACAGCCTTGTGCCAGTCAGGCATTAGGATTCCAGGCAACTTGATGACCCTCCTCTGTCCGTTCCTGAGTGCTACAGGATTGGGGTTGGCTGGGTCAGCACAATGGAGACTCTTATTCCAACCCCCAGGGCACCTAATTAAAACTTACAACCAAGACAAACAACCTTCGACACTCATGCATCTCGTGAGAATCACTATTCCTGAAAATGCCATAACAGAGAAGTGAAGATCAGTAGGAGATCAACATGTCCTTTTTATAATAATGTTTATGACCTTGAAACTACAAGTGTATTGTCTAAATAGGAAATTAATATAAATATATTTAATGCTATTTGCACAAACTGTACTCTTTGGTTAAGTTTGATTTCAGTAGATTTAGATAATTATGTTGAAGATCTTTCTGCCCCAATTATGTTGTTATAATCATAGTCACTATTATACATAGACATTATTGACATTTTTTGTTACAAGATTTGACCATAATTATTAAGTGTTATTAAGGGAGACTGAGAATTCTTGTGATACTACCACCATATGAGGCTCAAACTCAGTAAAGCATAATAGATTGCTTCCTTACTTACTCCCAATAAGCAGTGAGTAAGTGAGAAAACTTAGATAATAGTTGAAGAGTATTGTCATGCAAAATAAGGCATTAATACAAACATGTTTATGGGGACCAATAAAGAGCCAATATGCTATTGATATGCATGCTAATAAGCAACTAGTTAATAGTGAATGTGTACCTTTTCATATGAAGTGTTGCCGCTTAATTCTATAGTGAGCAGTACGTAGAGATTTCAGAGACAGTTATTTTGTGTCATTACTGGCAGGTATAGTGTTGCTCGATTGCAATGTATGTTTTCACTGGTGTTTTCTTTTCAGTTGTCAGTTTTGTCACTTTGTCACACTCATGTTTGTTTTTTTTGTTTTCTCATGCAGCTGGCTGACATGGCTGTCTAGCAGGCTGCCAAAGATATCTTCATGGATCACAGAGGACAACAAAGAGAAATCACTGCATCTGTGAGCATAGCCAATAATTAGGGAATCTGACCCACAAGCATATCATCAGACTGACTTCAGTGCATGTGGCCTCTCAAGTTGTTCACAGACATCTGTTGGGCAGCCCAAAGGCCTATTGCTATGCACTATAAACGGAGAGACATGAGCTGTGGGGATGCTGGGAGGAGCAGGCTTCTTTCGTGCAGGACTATCCCTCTGGTAATAGGGCTTCTAGTGGCCATGGCCCAGGGCGCTGTGCCAGAACAGCAAGAGACACTGGTGGAGATGATATCTGTGGAACTAGAGGCTTCTATGCAGTCCTCTGTGCTCTCTGAGCTCCAGGCTGCAGCATCTTCGGTTGGTGAGGGGCCGCCTACAGCTATCCAAGATTCCTCTGCAAAGAACGGGGGAGTGCACACTGGTATCCCTGACTCCTCTGCAATCGTGGGCCAGGCGTTCCAGTTGAAGGTTCCACCAGGACCTGCCAATGCAACCTGTAATGTCCATGTAAGTGCACTGAAGATCAGACGTATCAGAAAAAATTATATATTGAGATAAATAGTGTTGATTTGATGTGGGAAATATTTGGCATGTAATATTGAATCAACACAAACGTCACTGTGTTGGTATTTACAAATAACTGCATGTGAATGATTTAACATTAATATACTGAGATTGGTATTAGGAATCAGTGAGAACAGTATTTGTGTTGGCGGGGTGGTGGGAGATTCAGAAAAACAAAAAATAAAAGATATGTGCAGTCGTCTAAACTAAGAGCATTTACTACCTTGTTTTTATTGTTCCATTGTCCTTATGGAACAATGGCCACGTAGGCCAACGTTTTTTTTTCTTTTTCTGGCACTGTAGAAACGCATTATATATAATATCTCTTCATTTTTGATCACTGTATTACTGCTGATTGAAGTCGACTGTGGTGCAATTTGCTCCAGTCTGACTTATGAATGAAATTAGATTATTATTGGCCCAAGTGGTGATGCAAAATGATGTCTGTCACAGTAATAACTCAAAATGAATAGTGATGACTCGCATAGTTATTATGAATAGAAGCTCACTCTGCTTCCTGTTCATATTTGGCGAGATTTGATAGACTGAATAGAACACGGATGGGGCGGGTCTCAGGGAGATGGTGAATGCTTTTTTTTCTGCTTTCACTCCAGATATTTGAAAGATTTGCATTCATCTTTATTTTGTGTTTTTTCCTAGTTCCTGTTTCACTGGCAACTTGGTCAATATCAAACATATAATTACATAATTCACCATCATTACCCAACATTTCCTACTTAGAACTTCACAATTGCCAATCTAACATGCTTTTCTGTGTTTCGTGTTATTATAAAATTTAAACCCAAGCCAAACTAAGTAAGTCATGTTAGGAAATCTCTTTGGTCCTGGTACCCTTTTTTAAAAAAAATTTTTAATGGTCATTTGTTATGGTGAATTATCACTTAATGAAATAAATAGTTTTTCCATTCCAGAGTTAACTTAACATCTTAGAAGTATCCCTATAGTAAAAAAAAAAAAAAAAAACTTACCTATTTCTCTCTTTTTTCACCTGTAGCTCACTGAGATGGGAAAGGAGACTTTACCCTCCTGGCTATATTGGGACAAAGAAAGTTGTATTCTGAAAGGCTTGGCCCTGGAGCAGGACAAAGGTGTGTATCATATCTTGGTGTCTGGAGAGGAGATAATTGAGAAGACAGGCAACCAAGCGTTCCCAAGTACCGTCTTCTCTATTGAAGTATACCCAGAAGAACGGGCAGACACTGAGCCAGCCCTGCTCACTCTACAGTCTGATATCAGTGGCATCCAGCCTTTCACCTGTGGCTCTGAGGAGCCTGTCACTGTCCTCACTGTCATCTTGGATGCTGACTTGACAAAGATGGTCGCTGAACAGAGGGTCAACTTACTGGCCATTATGAGAAAATTCTCACATGTGCCCATGGAGCACATGAGGGTGGTCCCTGTTGTCAACAACCGCTTATTTGACATGTCTGCTTTCATGGCTGGACCAGGGAATGCCAAGAAGGTGGTGGAGAATGGGGCCCTACTGTCATGGAAACTTGGATGCGCCCTTGACCAAGGCAGTATACCTGACATTAGCAGTGTCCAGTCCTCAGCAAAGGATGGGACCATGTCAGCCAGGCTGGGATATCCAGTGGTTGGCTGGCACATTGTCAACAAAAAGCCCCATGGAGTGAAACGGGTCAGACGGCAGTTGTACAATACTCCTACTCCAGTACCCTCCCTGCTTCCTCCAACTACTCACCCAGAGCCCCCTGTACGTGTTATTCCCACCCCAACTTCGCCCTCTATTGCCCCAGCAACAGACAACTCTGCTCCCCCTGTCCGAGGCCCTTTGCCTCTTCCGGTGAAGCCCACTATGAGGGTCCGAGATCAGATAGCCCACACACCTGTCTTTGGACCTCCCCAACCCACCAGAGTACTAGGAACTACAAGCACCATCCCTATTCAGCCTACCATGACCCGGCCCACGTTTGTGGAGGCCACTGCTTTGCCAACACCGCCAAGCACTACCAAAAGACCCAAACCCTCTGCCACAAGGAAACCCAAGAAACCCAAAACCTCCACCCCAGCTCCCCGGGAACCCAAGTCTACCACAGCTAAACCGCCCAGACGCACCACTACTCTCTCTTTGGCTCCAGACTTGAATCAAAACCCACAGATCCGCAATGCCATTGATCAGGTGAATGCATGGGTTGGGACATACTTTGAGGTAAAGATTCCTCCTGATACATTCTTTGACAGGGAGGATGGTACTACCGATAAGCTGCGTTTGACTTTGAAGAAGACCCCAAAAGAAGCAGTGACTGAAACATCCTGGATCCAATTCAACAGCACTATCCAGCTTTTGTATGGTCTTCCAGAGGAGCAGCATGAGGGAAAACACGAGTACTTCATGTTGGCTACTGATAAAGGTGGGAAAAGCATCATGGATGCGTTTGAGGTTAGAGTAAACCGTTGGTCTAATAATGACAAACCATCAGTTGTCTTTGCTGCTCGTTTCCATGGTGACCCCAAAACTTTAAGCAATGATGTCCATAAAAAGATTCTTTTGACCAAAAAGTTGGCTTATGCCCTCGGGGATCGCAACAGCAGCACAGTAACCCTGAGAAACATCACTAGTGGCTCCATCGTGGTGGAATGGACCAACAACAGTCTCCAGCAGAGTTCTTGTCCAAAGGACCAGATAACAGTTCTCAGCAACAGGATCTCTGATCCCCAAGGGACACCTAAACTGGCCTTCATTAAAGCCATGGAGCCTGAATTCAAACCCATTAACATCTCCATTCGTGGCACCAATAAATGTCAGAGCTACACGTTCATCCCACCAGGAGAGGTGCCGATGCCTGTTCTACCCACAGCCACACCTTCACCAGGGACAGGTCGTAGGAGCAGCGATGATGTTTACCTACACACTGTCATTCCCGCTGTGGTGGTAGCAGCCCTGTTGCTTATAGCCGGTATCATTGCTATGGTCTGCTACCGCAAGAAGCGCAAGGGGAAGATGACCATAGAGGAGCAGGCCACTTTCATCAAGAAAGGAGTCCCTATAATATTTGCAGATGAGTTAGATGATTCCAAATCGCCCCCGTCCTCCAGCATTCCTCTTATCCTTCAGGAGGAAAAGCCCCCACTCCCCCCTCCAGAGTACCCCAACATGGCTGGCCCCCACAGTACCCTGCTTAACCAGGATCTGCTGGAAGAGTATTCTGTTTATCAAGATGATGATCCGAATGCCCCTCCTTACCAGCCCCCACCACCATTTACTGTCCCCATAGAGGGCAAAGGCTCTCGTCCCAAGAACATGACCTCATACAGGTCACCACCTCCCTATGTGCCTCCCTAACGCACACTAGAGCTTTCAGTTTGGAAAGCAGGTGCAATGTAGGGATGCTTGTTGAAAACTGCTACAGGAGTAATTTTACATGTGTTCAATGAAATGGCTTTGACTTTGTAGAGGAGCAGGCAACCATACCCATATATTTGACCATCATGGATAAGACACTATCGTACAATTCTACTTCTGGCACAGGGCAAATGGATGGGGAACAGTTTGTAATTCCAGCACTTTTTTTTTTTTTTATTTTTGTTTTGTTTTGTTTTGTTCTTCAGATCTGCTTTTGACTTCTTGCATATTCTCTTTTGTCTGTTTTTGCCAAGAAGAGTCAATTTTATCTTCAACGATGTTCTATTTCTATTGTATAGAAAATAATAAAGAAGCAGGAAAGACTGAAGCCCACAGGGCCTTTTGAGCAGATGTCACCATGACAACAGACTTGAGGCTCTCCCTCACAATGTTAATCTTTATGAGTTCTATATCACTTATCTGTCCTTCAGCTAGGTTTACTAAGATTTTGCACCTGTTATTTCTAGAGGGGAATGAAATACAAAAAGCCAAACTGAAAGCATGAAATACTTTATTTACACAAAAATCAGTTTGTTTCTTAGACTTTGATCTTTCCCTGTTCTCTCCTATGCTTTGCTCCCTCTTGACAATAACATGCGAACCTTGCACTTATGCAAATTCTTGTTAAACCTTGCACTATGTGTCTTGCGCAGAATTGAATGCAGTAAGTGGTAGTCCAATAAGGAGAAACAATTTCTTTTGGTATCCTTGAACTCACCACATGACTGAGATTCCTCTGGTATTTGATCACAAAGGACATTACAATGATCACGCCTGTTGTAGATGTAGCCTCATTAAGTTACAAAACAAATGACTTTTTTTTTTTTTTTGTAATGTGTGTGTGCCACTGAACCTGCCTGTGAGATGACTGGTTTTGCTGTTGCCAAGGTGATGTCTGTGGTCACAAGGCAAACCTTGTGGGGTTGCTACAACAATAATGAAGGGGCCAATGGAATGCTGTGGTTCACAGCAGGCTGAGACTTGGTGACATAGTCAATGAGGTGGATCCACTGTCTTATATTCAGTTGGTTTTGTTGGTATGAGGGGTGGGTGGGCTTAGAGTAATGTATTATCACTGCTCTGCCTCAAGGTGTTGCACTATTGTGTTTAGTGCGCTGCCTGGTGTCAGTTCAGATGAGGCATGGGGACAAGGGGATGTACATAATTGTGTGCCTGTGAAATTAAACAACTCCATAATGTTAGTGTTTTATCAGTAAACCTAGTTGGGAAAGGGAGGGCCAGAGTGGGAAATAATTTTATTTTTTAATTGTATGTCTAGATTTATGATCACAATCATGAAAAAAAAAAATGACTTTATAGTTTGTGAGGGTACAAAAGAACGTTTACCTGCCCATCACAAAAAGTAATGCATTATCTCAATATGATGGGGAACAAAGAAACTACAACATGTGAATTATGTACATTTCATATCTGATATCACCATAAGAAAAAATGGTTAAAAATCTAATGTTTTTACTGAGTTTTTGATACAGTCTTAAACTTGTTTTATGAAAATATATTAATAAAATGTAATACTATTTGTAAAGCCTCAAAGATGGTGTATAGTCCCTTTATTTGAGAAAATGGAACCGGATTAAACTATATTTTCTGTGTATTAAAGCGCTGATGAGCGCGGTTGACCAGATAAGTTGGAACGCAATATGCAGTAAAATCACTGTGTCCATACTATACAGTACATTATATTGTATTTACATAAGCAGATGTAAAAGCAATGTAAAGAGAATGGCCTTCATTTCAAGCAGGAGAATTAAGTGCAAGCTGTGAGATATGTTAAGGTTAGTAAGTAAGTTTGAAATATCCCCAGTTTGATTTCCAGATTTATTTTTCCATCAAACACATATTCTGCAGTACATACTAGCCTGTGACCTTTTTGTCGCCATGTTTTACAGTATGTTGTCACATTCTTGACAGAGTTTATAGAAGCAGGCTACAGTACAATCCAATGGTTGGCTGGTTTTGGCTATAACATGAGCTACACACTCTTTGTTGTAATAAACCAAATACGCAGCAGGCAGCCCCTGTGAGACAGTGTGATATTTTAAGAGGAGTGCTCCCTTTCTATGGCATTTAGGTGGGCAGTTTTTCTTTTTTTGGCTCTGTGCTCCTACATCTCTTGGAGAAATATCAATAACTGTGACTAATATCTGCTCTCAAATTATTTTAGTATAGAGCTTGTGTAATGATGGCTTATTCAAGAGAGGTCAAAAACAGTTTCATTGGTTGGTGGTAAGTTGCAGACCCATGCTGCATTGACAAACGTACATCATTAGTACAAATTGCAACCAGACATTTGTTCTTGCTTACTGAATATTCCTCCTTTTGTACCTTTTTTAGCATTTAAACCCTGAAACATAAGAGTGCTAATGTTAACTTGTCCTATAAACTCATACTAAATCACTGATGATCTCTAGACTTATATTCTAGACCATGGAAGATCTCTCTTCTTTTTAGCACTGACATCTACCCATTACTTCATACAGATCAGTCATGTGTCTGCACTGGCTGTATGTGTATATAGAATGTGTATTGAAGTGGCTGTGAAGCTACATTTCTTCAATGTCAGTGCTGTAATTACATTATCTGCCCTGCTCTCATTTGCTCAGTCTCCCCATTCTTGGTTATTATAACACATAATTGGTAATTATGAGGTGGCTTATATTGCAAATTGAATGTAATAATAATTTATCAATTAGCCAACATCCATCTAACTGTGGGCGACTGATTCATTTACAGGAGATATGTGACACTGGACTTGAAGACTCTGTTTCGTACACTGACTGTGATTAAATACAGCTTATACTGTTTGTAAATATACAGACTGAAACGCTGACATGTCACCTCTTGTTGCATAAATAACATGATTTCAGGTTTTTATTGACATGGTTACGTGTTGTGTTGTACAGTCAATACATTGCAATAATGACAACATAATGGCACCTGGCTAGTGCGACATAAATTACAAACAGATGTAGAACATGCATCAAGAAGGCCCCTAATTTACAATTTACGTTTGGTCTATCCAGCTGTACAAACAAATTTAATTTTGAAAGAGCTGCAATAATTAATTAGTTGATTAGTTGATTGACATACGTAATCAGTAACATTACACTGAATTATTGTAATTTTCAAACACAAATGCCTTCCTTGATTACATGCTAGTACATTGAATATATTTAACTCTTCAAGTGATGATGTCATGGTGGGCTCCTAGAAATTGTGATGGACATTTTAGCTGATATATATAAACTGTTATAAACTGATGTTTTATTGACCAAACAATCAGTTAATTGAGACAATAATCAGCAGTTAAATCAATAATCAACATCATTAATTGCAGCCCCTAAAACAGGCGGCTGTACTTTTCTGTACTGTATGATTCATTATGCTTGAGTTCTTACACTAAAATAAATGTGCTCCACTTTACCGTGGGCAGTTGTCATTACAAAGATCATACAGTATAATATAGCTGCAGGAATGGTCACCTCTGGCACATAGGGGACCACAAACAGAATATGCAGTTGTAGGATTATATTTCAGTAGTGACAGATGGAGTCACATCTGCTGATTCTGAAATTCAGGCAACCTACAGCTGCTCTGTAAGGTTGAGGTTGGGAGAAGGCTGTGCACCAATATTACCAAGGACAGTGACCTATTATAAGTTTTTAAAAAAGGGGGTTTTAAAGCATTGTTCAAACTGGTAAAATGTACCAAATCATACTTTTTTTTCCTAGTTTTAATGTCTCAGGACAGGTTACATAGGACTTTCAACTTTCAAGTACACAATCTACTGTTGTGTCCTAAAACATATTGACTGTTTGTATATGTTTTCTAATAATACTTTCCGTAAAGGATAATCCAACTGCTTCAACAGCAGTTGAGTGGTTTGAATCTACAAATGGAGTTGAGCTAATCGATAATGGCAGCCAGTAGTAGGTAATAAGGTTGTATCAAAAATGTGGAGTTGAGGCTATTTTATGCCCTGCCAATCTCTCTCTTCATCAGCCTCCCTTAAGCACTCATTAATAATGCATTGGGAATGAAAGTTAATGTATGTGATGAAAAATGTATAACCCAATGAAAACCTATAGGAAGAACTGACCTTTAGTTGTGTGATGTGCTGCTGCTGTCGTGGATGCTTTGCAGTTCTGCGCACAAAACCACTCGTCTGATCCGTTTCGTAAGTTTTCATTTCTGAAATAATAGTATACCAGATAAAATATAGATGAATACAAATGAATTTGCTTTATAATTGTTTAAAATTGCTTCACAGATTTCTGCATTTCCACATTTGGTGTTTACAGAACACCTGCTTTACCTTTGTTATTTCAGACGCTGGCAGAGCACTAATCAAAACGGGTGTTTTGTAAGCGTGTTTATAATTCCTGGGGTCATAACAAATTCTAATTAGGCCTGTAGCCATGCCAGGCCCAGCTCTCATTGCAAACAGGAGGGTAATTATTTCCACTGCACAGTATTATTGACACAAACTTTTCTTTTGATTAAAAAAAGAAAAACTAATCAGTCTTTGTATGCACCATGGTGCTTGAGGAGGCGGTAAGGTGATCTCCTACTTAGCTGTGGAAATAGCAGAAAGGCTTTGATGGTGGGCAGACCCACATAATATGGACAACTCAGTAATAGGCCTCATTAGATGCCCAAAGCCCAAGAAATGTGGCACTCTGTTTCCCATTAGGCTGAAAGCACAATGATAAAAAAAAACCCATCGTAATGATAAAGGATAATTGTCAGGAAAGCAAGGGGGTATATATTTCATATTTTATTATGAGCAATCCATAAAAATATTTTGCATAATAGTGTACATATTAGATCATACAGAGTGTGCTCGTGGAGGAGACTTTATTTGCGATACAGACAGACAGACTTTACCCATGTTAGACATACTGTTAGTATAGTAGAGTTTCATTTGCATGATCCTGAAATGTAGCAACAGTGCCTATATCAATTTTATTATGTTTTTGTAATAATCCTTATTAAGGTTATATATATCAGATATTTGAATAAATACCCACATTTTAAAATACAAAATACTGCTTAAAGCTCTGTTCTGTAACATTTACGAGGATCAATTGGCAGAAATGGAATATAACATTTATAATTGTTGTTTCCTTCGTGTATAATCACCTGAATACAAGAATCGTTGTGTTTTAGTGACCTTAGACTGAGACATTTTTATCTACACCGTGGGTCACCTTCCAATGGAGTCCGCCATGTTGAACCGCCATGTTCCTACAGTAGCCCAGAACGGACATGGATTAAAACCATACATCCATGATTAAACCTTTGGCAAATTAACCCAGTGCCACATTTCATCGTGGAGTAATTGTAAGTAATAATAACACATCACGTCACACTGGTTTTATACAGGAGGTTTGGTAGGTGTGGTTGTTGCTTGGTTTTTTTTTTTCTTTAGCATACTGTGCGTTACTGTACTTATACTAATCACACTGTTAGGACAATAACCTTTTCACACAGGGCTAAAAAGCTGATCCCAACAAGGTAATTTAGGTAATTAGGATAAATTAGGGTCAGGAATGTAGTGCTTATGGGTGAATTTAGATTTAGTATCCAGGGAATTAACATAAATCAATGCATTGTCCTCTTAGGTGACAAAAACAAGTGTGTGTGTGTGTGTGTGTGTGTGTGTGTGTGTGTGTGTGTGTATGTCTGTGTGTGTATGTCTGTCTGTGTGTGTTTATATTCTCTTGCAGCATACAGGAAATGATCATGATGAAGTGGAGTCCTCCTCACCTGATGCCAGGCTGCGGTCTTGTCCTCCCAGCTACAATGGCTGCAGCGCCATCTTGTGAAAGAATGAAGTAAGTTCATTTGAATGCTTTGTAATGCTCACACAAAGAGCTCGCTTGCCCTGAGCGCAGAACAAAAAGTCTATTCAGAAGTACATTTTGTCATCTGTCAGTACTGGTTGTACAGATCTTGTATTTTGAGACAGGGTAGCAAGAATGCAGGGCTCTGAGGCAGGAAGGAACAGAGAGGAAGACAGAGATCTCTGCAGTATCAGTAGATGGCAGTAGCATCCCACCATGGCAAAGGTACTGATTAATAACCTTTGCATGAGATCATAATATCTTTTGTAGACAAATAACAAGTAGCCTTAAGCTGTGGTAAACAAAATACAAAACTGCAATTATCATTTATCAGATACTGTGTGTATAGGCAACGAGACACTATTATAAGACATTTGAGTTTATTTAAATTCATTACCTTCCAGGAGGGTTAGCGTAACGCTGAATGTGAATCAGTGAGTGTATCACTTATGTTTGCTATTTATTAAACAGCGCATCAGCAAAAAAACGATCCTCAGTTAATTCCCCCTGATAATAAAATGTGTCGGCTCTCTCTTAAGTCACACTCATTATTTGAAAGTGAGATAAGTTATAACAACTGTGAGACGCCATAATTCAGTCACAGATTTAGAAAGTGTAGACTAATTGCATTTTGCTTCTTATCTTATAAATTGGATCCATCCCAGAGCTGGGATGGAAATCCCCGTCTTCAGTCATGGAAGGAGCCCATTTGTGTGGATGCTGTGGATTTTCAGAGGCGTGACAAAGCTAAAAAGTTGGGGAGGGGTTTCATAACCAACTATAGCGAGAGAAAACATGACAGATGCTGCCTTGTACTGGCTCCTTGCACTGGAGTTAATGGTGTGAGAAGCATTTTAAGCTGCGGCTTGCTGCAGGGGCTGAGGGCAACGCACAGACACTTGACATATGAGAGGTTATTAGAAACATTTACATGACTGTGCATTTGAGTGTAGAGGAAAAAACGACAACACGGAGGTCAGGTTAAAAACCCCCCGCTCTGTAATGTCATGTTGAATCAACCTCCGCCTGACTTACAAAGATCACAGCTGAATCAACATGTTGTTTTTGCTCTAAATTATACACAACGCAGCAGCAGGATCACTGGCACTTTATGCACCATACAGCATATTCTTCTCAGTGGCAAGCATTTAGCTGGAAACTCTTTGCCCCCTGTCATTATATGCAGGCCAACAACACACAACATCTCAGATAAAACATGAGGGTTGCTCATTATCTGGTGGCTGTACACTGTTTCTACCTTTTACAGGCATTGTGTGTGATCTGCCAGTCTCATGTTAGCACAGGATGTTTGTGCAGAGCTTTGGTCTCTGCATCCTGCGTGCTCCCTGCTGGCCCGATGAGCAGATGGGTCAGTGAATGTGTAGTCGGGGCCTTGGCGGGCCCCTTCTGTTCACTGTGTGGGTCCACTCATGGGCTCAAAACCCCAGAGACCAGAATTATAGAAGCCGGATCACAAGGTAGATGGGATTGCAAGCTGAGCTGAGACATTCACACACATAGGCATTCAGTGCACACACAGGTATATTGAGGAATATACACTGCTTTACCTCTTGTGGGGAGGAGAGTGTATGTGCACACACGATAACGCGTGTGTATCTTTTACATTCACCTGGAGGAGAAATCTTTCAGAGGGAATAATGTTTTACCGATTAACAGAGAAATTAACAAAGGAAATGTAATTTTATTTAATAAGCTAGAAGCAGACCTGATCTTTTATCACTTCAGACAAGCTGTTCAGGAGGGTTACATTACTAAAGTAAGATTTTTCTCGCCATGTCATGTGGAAATTTAGTCAAGTCATCTTCAACTGTTATTGCAGTCCATTAACTCCATTGTGAAGATACATAATTGATGCAGCCTTTGGGTAGAGTTTAATCAAATGGAGAGTGCTCCACACTCCACCGCCAACTGAAAAATGAGACACGCAATCCTCAGCGATGTAGTTTGTGTGGTAAGACTATAATTCACACTTTGAATTGATTTATAATCATTTGACTGCACACTTTCCTGCACAATGCCCAAAGCAAAACTCATAGCTTTTAAGTTTTGAAAGGTGGATTCATGTGAAGGATTTATGTGCCTGAATTGGGATCAGTTTTAAGAAGAAAGACTAAATAAAAGCATACAACTGTTTCTACTAATCTACTCCCAAACAAGCAAGGAGTGTGGTTTGTGATTTATTCTTTGTACCTTTTGGGTTTTTCATTTCATCTTTGTTTGATGTGGATTTCTATCACTCACCCTCAACTATCCATTTCCATTTCAGTATTTTGTTTCTCTTTAGGCATTTACTTTTCTTTGAAATAACAGTGATCTGTGTGGGATGTGGAAATGCATTGTTTATGCCATGCTCCTTGAAATCAAGGGCTTAGCTCTCTAGTTAAATTTCACAGCCAGCCAGCACTTATCTCTGTCAACTCCTGTTTAAGCCGCAGATGATCTGCCTTGGTTTAAATGCTATTGGCTGTTGTTTGTGCCGTGAACCTGAGCTGTGATTCAATGTTTAAAAAATGCACTACTTTATTTTATACAGCCCTTTAAAAGTGAGTTGCATCTTTCATGCAGCGAAACCATGACAAATATGCAACATATTCACGAGATGTATGCCAGCACTCTGTACTTCTTTTCTCCATGAATGCATTTTTCTGACAGGGGAAATTGGGGGAAAGCAGCAGATTAGTGCAACCTACTCAGCTGCAAATTCTGAAGAGCATTCGTCTCACTCAGGCATCTTAATAACACAGCAGTCAATTAAATCCATGAAGTCAGATATGTAATTTTCAAATAATCATTAACTGGGGGAAAGATGGAATTAGAAGTTTGGATATTGGAGAGATGGGAGGGGAAGACAGCAAGAGAGGCATAACAGTTATTACAGTGAAGGCAACATGTACTAAATCCCCCAGCCAAAGATGAGTGAAGATAAAGGAGGTGACTGAGCTAATTGTGTACTGTCAGAATCCATATCTCTAACGACTGTCAAATGAGCAAATTTCATATGTATTCTCTCCACCCACCCAACTCCCCCCAGGAGCAAAAGTGGTGAGCGAGAGAGGCAGAGAGAGAGAGGAATAAATACCAGGAGACACTAATGTGATGAGAATGATGCCTGGTCTCTTCCGCTGATTAAAAATGCAATAACGCTGTGGCAAACACACACAATCGCGCACACACACACACACACACACACACACACACACACACACACACACACACACAGCAGCCTAAGCAAGGCAAGGAGTGGTTCTCTGGACCCACAGATATGAAATGGCACCCAGTGACCCCAAACTAATTTATTCACTTAGAAAAAGAGGCACTGTATCTTTTTCTTGGATCGCTCGTAGTAAAACAAACACAGCATTTCGGCTGCGGAGCCTGTTCATAAAATTTAGTCGTCGTCTTTCTTTTAAAGTAGATTATAATTAGGGCCTATGAGGAGATGAGGATGTTATGATTCATGTCTAACCAATGGCTATCTTACTGTACCACTAATTATAAAATCTTTGTGTCACTATGTGCTGGCCTGATTTCTGGAGAACGGAAGTCAAAGGAAGAAGAAACATGCTGGTAAACAAAAAGCATCATAAGGAGGTTTTGAGTACAAGATGCAGCGGGGGAAAGAATCAGAATTGTGAAGAGTGTCTTTATACACCCCACGTTATATCAGGCCTCAGTTGGTTACTGACGGGAAGCAGATAAGGTTTCACTCTGGCTGGAGTTGGATAATTGGACATTTATGGAGAGATAGGAGAGCCCAGGGCCCAGGAGCCATGAAACAGAGCTAATCTAGACTCAGCATCAGTAAATTGTCTGTGAAAGAGCGCATCAGGAGTTCTGACAAGATAAGGAAGGCTTTCTTCAAAGGCAGAGCTGGACCAAAGTGACATGAAAACTCAAGATAGAAGAAAGCCTGTGTTTTTGCTGCTGGGACTTCTTCATGTCACATGAGGCACACACTGAAATGTACATTTCGTTATAGCAGCAGTGTCACCTTGTCATCCAAATTGGGTCATGCAAACTTGGAATTCTTCTACAATTTTCAAGAAATTTTTGACAACTTTGTAAATAGACAGCTCTTAAGAGTTAGAACTCTTGGCAAGCCGATACTGTGTACATGTTAAAGAGTTTATAAAAATCTATTGTTCAACTTCAAATGTTCCACACATGAGAACGTGCGACTGACGGTCCTTAGAGTTTGAAACATTTAAGTCCTCCTGGTGCCTGCTTGCCTTGCTCACAGTCCACCGTGATTAGTTTCCTCCCTTTGATGTTTTCCCCACTTGAAACTGCTGCCTACAGAACAGGTGCATACCGAGCAGGTGGGCCCTTATGTAGGAGCCTTGAGAGTTTGGAGCTGGAGTTAACCTTACCTCACACTATTTTATATGGGTTAAAACCACTCCTGAGCACCCCAAGTTTAGATTTTTCAATATTTTCTACATATCAAAGATCAGGCTCACAAAGTTGAGATCCATAATGCTGTTGCTTAAGCTGTTCTAGTACTGCGTTTATTTTTGCTGAGCTTCAAATCTAAACTCTGTTCAGCCCCTACTGATTACTTGCACACAGACACTGACACACGCAATTAATTTAGTGGGGGAGAGGCTAGTCTTAATTGGGCATAAGTGGGATTTTTCTTGGCTGTGTGCAACAGAAAATGACAGACTGTGCGTATGAGAAGTAAAGACCATCTGGTCCCACAGGAGCTGAGAGAGATGCCAGACAAATGGAAAGAGAAACAACAGAAAACCTGTGTGGGTAAGGATCTCATCCCATCTCTTTCCCTCCCTCTCTCTTTGTCACACACACACACACACACACACACACACACACACACACACACACACACACACACACACAGACAAACACACACACAAAAGAGGAATCAGCATCCCGTGGTCATATATCATTTGCCTATCTAACAGCCTAGAGGGAGATGCATACCGGAGAAGAAACAGAAGTCTCTCATGCGTGGCCTATTCATGTTTTTATATAATAATCAATATTGAAAATAGTAACATTATGCTTGCAGGCAGGCGCAGGAATAAAGAGCGGTTAGCTCGTAAAGGCTCGGTCATCAGCAGGACAAATTGATCTGACATGTTATATTATTCATGTAGGGGATTGGTGGTGAGACTTGAAGGGAGCAACAGCGAGAGAGAAACAACGGATGAGACAGAGAGAGCAAAGGGTGAGTAAAGGAGTCAGCTAGTGGACATCCTCTCCTCTCGCAGGGTCTCATCTCCTCTGCATGACAGCGCTGCTCAGTGAGCTCTCTAATGCGCCCTGTCATCGGGGTGAGACTTTGAAAGAGCTCATGACATTTCCTTCAGTTTCCAGAAACCCATCAACAAAACAAATGATTAATGGAACTTATTCAGACATCAGTTTAAACGCTCACACACACGTACAGAAATAACTATGATATGCTGTCTGGTTTAATTGTATAAAAGATAACAAAATGATTTTTATTACATGTTCATAATTTGACAGACATCACAACATACTTGCATGATTGCTCTGATATTAATGCTTCCCACACCATAATTAGGCATAATATACCCAATACGAAACTATATAAAACAAACATGCTTGCAGATACAGCGGGGCAGGGGGCAGTTCAACAACAGATTAAAGCCATATTCTGTCATTTAATGAAGTTCAGTTCTGGTAAAGAAAACAAACTGCAGAAGGATGCTGAAGCTCATTATCATTTTCAGAATTTATTTCTCTTTTTTTGTTTACATCAAATAGAACAGACATACATTGGCACATGCAAAGTGAACACTTTGTGGTGCTTTTCATTACCATCCAAATCCAATTGAACAAAGACTGGATATCTATTTTTGTACTCCAAACATGAAAATACTCTCAAATATTTACAAAAAATATATAGTTACAATGCCCATCACTCTAACAATAATAATCATCTGGGACTGATTTGAGTTGGTAAAAACAAAATACTGTATGTGGCAGAGCTTGTTGTTCAAGGTAATTAAATCAACTGCAAAAAAAGGAGGCACAGAAGAAAATCACTTATAAACAATACAAAACAGAAATCAGATAATGGGAACCCCAAGAGAATATGGCTTTAATGACATTTCAAAAGAAAATATCTTGAAAGTGGATCCACTGTCCTTTTTTTTTTTTTTTGCGACCATCCTCGTTCACAGTGACCCCTTTTAGCAGGCAAGTTGTTCTCTGGCAGAGAGAAGGGGGCCACAACAACAAGTTTAAAACCTACAGTTTGGTTCGTGACGCTGACCCAGCCACACGGGCCTACAGCTGTGCTAGTCTCTGTCATGTATCATGTCTGGTTGAAGGTTGGATGCTATCCACAGTCCTGGAGTGCATAGGTACTGCAGGTGGTGCTGGGATGCCTTCGCTCGCTCTCCTGTCTCTGTCTTTCTTTCTCTGTTCCTCTAGAGCTCCCCTCCCTTTTCAATCACAGATAAAGGACAAACGCCATACATTTTCAAGCAGATCAGATCCTGAGGTTGTTGTAACTCACATATGTTTTCTTGGTTGCTTGACCTGAGAACAGAGTAAAAAAAAGATTGAGATTTACTTTGAGCATTGCTACAACAAAACAAAAGAGGCAAATAAACATCCTCCGCTTCTGTAAACTCATCCTACTATGCCATGCATTCTTATCACCAGCTGTGTGCAATCAGTAGCAATATTTTCTGGCCTAGCATATCATTTCAACTCGCAATGCCCCTGTGTAAAGCCTTAGTTTCTATTTTCAGATGTTAACTAGTGATAAAAAACACAAACACCACACAAGTGAACACCGAACAAATGCTAGGGCATGCAATGTGATCCCAGTCTGGATTGCCATGGAAACATATCAGAATGTGGCTGAGTGCCTAGATGCTGTGTGTGTGTGTGTGTGTGTGTTTATGTGTCCTCCTGTAATATCCATCGTTATGGGAACCAATTTGAGTTTCAAACCCACAGATTGAAGGTATGTTTTTGAGAACTGAAGTCATTTTGGCTTATTATGGCTTCTGTAAAAGGCTGTTTTAGGGGAAGAATTGAGTCTAGAATTAAAGTTAGTCTTTGGTTCCAGTTTATTTTAGGGCAGGGGTCGATGTTAGTCAAGACAGGGATGAGGAAACGTGAATGTAGTCAGTAGACCAACATCAAGAACGAAGATATGTGTCTCTGCAGGTGCGTTGTCCTTTTTTGTACAGTAGAGAAGGTCGATGTACATTTTCTTAATCACAGACATTGCTATAAATTCTCACTCTACTGCTTTAATGTTGCTATGGTGACCAACTCCCATGGGCTACGCAATTAAAGTCGCACCATTTCTTTACAGCTGCATTTTGTTGCCTTGGCCGGCAACTACAATGAATAAAACATTAGTAAATGTACAACAGATTCTTCCTGTTAACCATAAATAGTATTCAGGAAGATCAGACTTTGTTTGAAGAAGACGCTGTGTGTGTGTGTGTGTGTGTGTGTGTGTGTGTGTGTGTGTGTGTGTGTTTACTTGTCTGGGACGGAGACATCTACCTACGCTATCATCTTAATTTTTTATATTGATAGCTGATTATTCATCTCATCCTATAACTTTTTTAATGTTTTGTTAGGTTCTGTTTTCTTCCCACAGTACTTCATAACATGAAATTGTGTAGTTAAGGACAGAGAAGCATTTCAACATCTCTGATTTGCAGGTTAAATCCTCCTGTCTCTTAGAGGCGTAATCATGAAGATATTACACCGTATCAATACCGATGTAAATCTGCAGAACTGCTAATGCTCTTAATCCTATAAATCACTCCGAGTCATCTCACACAGGGCTGATGGGCCCTGAAAGGGAGGTATTTGGCGGTCTGATGGTTACAGGAATTGACGGACAGTCTCCAGGGATGGTCGAGGCACAGTTCAGGTTTCGGGGCGGTCATGCACATAAATTCGCCATTAATAAATGTCACTTCTCCTGCTGCTAAAAAAGAAGGGCAAGAGGAGGGAGGAGAGAGTGTGCAGGGAGGGGAGACGAGGCAAGAAGACATTCATGTAGGAGAGACAGAAGGTGAGAGACACACAGAGCAGATGACACGGTGCACTTTTGGGAGGGCCTCCCGGAGAACGCGTGCCTGGCTTGGGGACTTTTGATGTGCTGCTGCGACAGATGTTAAGGTTTCACCCTCAATGCAGAGTATTTGCTCATTGAGGCACATGTGTGACTGGCAAGGATATGCTCCCCAGCCCCTAATACAACTTGCATCAGCTCTCTGACTTATACGTGCGTAACTCACACATTCAGTCACACAAAGATACACACATTGAAAACCGCATGCACAGTTGCACATTCACAGTTGTACGCATACACACATACACAAGCTTATTCGGCTCATGACAGATGAGTGTGACAACTGTTCGGGTGTTTGGAGAAATTCCCAGGAAAATCTGTCATCTCATAGGCATAATTCAAAGAGGGGTTGAGGGGCTGGTGCACCTGTGGGTGCCATGATCGCTCTATGTGATTAGAAGCGTTGCGGGAGAGGAGGCCTTTGGAGCCTGTGATGTGTGATTTGCATGAACTGTCAATCATCTCTGTCTTCATGCTGACAACAAGAGTAGAGCAAAGAGCTTCCATGGCAACATTGGTCTAAAATCTAGCTTTTTGCCTCTAAAACCATTTCTAGTGTTATTTCTCACCTAAACAAACACTGTATCACCTAACTATGGATGTATGTAGGCTTCCCCACTCACGTACTAATGCCCAGTATTATCTTTGCTAACAGGATCATGCTTACTGTCTCAGATGAAGGGTGGTATGAGCAACACACAGCTACAGAGACAGATTATCTTCTACCATTCCCGGCAACAAAGCCCTCCTTCTTCAAATCTCTTCACAGAGTAAGTCCCCCCATCTTATTTCATGCTCTCCGCTGTGCACTTGGGCTAAAAGGTCTAACCATTTGTCAAGAAACGAGATAACTGGGTCCATTCTATAGGACATTATACATACTTTTTACCCAAGCAGCCATCCAATTAAACTGCCGGAATGGGACTTTCTAGTACAAGAAAGGAAATATGAGAAAGATATGAGAAAAGGATAGAAAAGCATCTCATTCTCCATTTGGGGAAAATCTTATTTAAAACCAGCTGAAACCTCCATAGCACACACACGCATATATATATATATATATATATATATATATATATATATATATATATATATATATATATATATATATATATATATATATATATATATATATATATAGGACTTGATCTCTATATAAGCTTTATTAATTAATTGTAGACAAAATGGACAGTAACTGTGACTACTGTAACTCATAAATACTTCATATTAAATTTGTGTGTTTGTGATGTTGGCTTTAATAATTAATTAGACAAACTCTGGTGCATAAGTTGGCTTGATCTTTGCACAACTTACAATAATACATTTAGTATGTGACCAAACAGAAAGCATTCATGTTGTGTTTTAGAAATTATTAACTACTGCATTATGAGCTTTTAAGTAGTAGATTACATATTCAGATAACACTTGAAATGTGGTCTAATGTAAATGAGCTTGGTTCATGGTGCATATGTATGTAGCTCTGAGGCTTTTCGATTCTCTCACTGGGTTACTTACTCATGGGGTCAGCAGCGGGGTTCTCACACAGCTCAGTCTTAGCCTCTCCATTGGGCCTCTCGTTGGGCTTCTGGGACAGACGCGATGACATCGTGGCAGCTGTGACCACAGCCTTGAAGCTACGCTTCCTCTTCTGTACGTTCATCTCAGGGTGAAAGATAATGATGTATACCTTGGGCATGTAGAGCATGCCCAGTGCTACTGAGGCACTGAGGTTCATGGAGATGGTCAGGGTGGTTGTCTGAATGTACAGCTGGAGAGAAGCACAGACAGGTAAAAAGCGGTTTTAATACAGACTGGAATAACATCAAACCTAATTTATATGGACACTTCATTTCTATGAGGTATGCACTTTGATTTGACAGCACTATGAGGCAGACAAATAAGTCAGGAGCAGCATTTAAACCCTTATCAAGAAAAATAAGAGACAAGACAGCTATGATGGCAAAACATCTTTGGCCAATTACAGAACAGTCACACTGTTGAGCACAGTGATGAGGCAAAACCTAATAATAACCATTGCCCGATAACAAAATACGAGCATCCAGGGGAATAAGTTCATTGGTCACTGTCCTTTTTTCCATCCTGGAGTGTAGAGAAATGACAAAAGGACCTTCACCGTTAGAGGATATGTTCGTTTTATATACTAATATAATACAAAACCTCCTGATGATAACTGATAGTTTTTGATAATCTAACATTACTATCAGATATGTAGGTGGTCTGGATGTTTACTATGTGTAGCAGGGGAAAAGAGCAGCCATGCATACGGTAACGTAATCCAGTAGCATTTATTAAAGCCTGACCTGCAGCTACTCAGTCAAGTCAAAGTCGGTTCAAGCGTATTAATGACAAAAGCAGAAGCATCACCATGACTTTAGCAACATGTCCTCACATTGCATCCTTTCTACAAGTCTATCCACCTGAACCTTGACAGACCACACTGTCGGGGCGAGGAGCTGTCCGTGACATGTTGTAGTCACCTTTCCTTTCCTTTCATAACAGATGTTTTATCTCACTACTCAAGCATACATCAGACCAATCTACAGCCTCTGAGCTACTTCTTCCCCCACAAACAATTTATGTAGCCAGGCACATTTTAGTGTAAATTCCTCCCAGACAACAATAAAAGACTTCTTCCATGGACTGAGAACAGCGCAGTATACAGCAGTTCTACATTAGTTTTCCTGTAGCTGTGGAGTGCAGCCTGTGAAAGGCTCTCACTGCATTAAGTGGCAAGATCATTCATAAGAATGCCATCCATGTGAGCCCAACGCAGGTACATTCTCTTACATGCTTCCTCCACGACATTCTCAGAGGTTACATAACACCTTTCACATTGTCAAGCTGTAATTGCGAGCTTACATAATACTATGATTTAGGTTAACACAAATTTTATACAGTGACTTCATTAAAAGGTAGTGATTTCACTAAGAGGTAGTGAAGTCAGTAATTCAGCAGACACGCAAGAGACTCTTGTTTCACTTAAGGGTCTTGGAGGAGACAGAATCACTGCAAGAGGGGCTTGAAGAGCAGATCACCAGAGCCTCCTCACTAATCTACTACACTTGAAAGCATCAGATGTCACTTATATGCTGCCTTCCTGTCAGCCACTACTGATGTGGATTGGGAAGAGGATACAATTGTAAACACATTAGCCACCACAGTGTATCTGCAGAGCAGCGAAATGTTTGCTGATTCAGTGAGAGGAGGAAATGTCACCATTTGCATACAGTTTTTCTTGGTAAATAGCACGGCTAATGGTAATTTCTTTCATACAAGAAAGACTCATTGACATGCCAGTCATGCCTTTGTCTTCCAATCTCCACCAACAATTCCGATGCCTGATATCATCAACATGCCAATACACTCAACCGCTTCTTTCTCTCTCCACCACCTCTTGTTTCTCTGCGGAGCAGCATCAGAGGCACTGATCTGGCTGGCGCACCATGCATTAATAACTGTATGAGTATCACAATGCTCTCCGTGCACTCACTGTTCCGTGTCACTCGAAGCTGGGGGACAGCGGAAATGTTGCACGTTCTGTGTCTGAGCTGCAAATTAGCAGTGTTTATGATTAGATATTGGGGCAGCCGATCAAGAGTTTGTGAGGAGTACACATGGCAACAAATATAATCACCAGAGATTCTCACCCCTGTGCTGTGTTTCCATGTTTGGTAGCTGTTAACCTGTCTGGTATCCATAGCAACACTACAGAGTTTGGTGCGAGCAACTAAACACGGCTGGAATAAGCTTTTAATGAGATTCTGATACCATAGACACTGCAACGCTGACCCTATCAGAACTGATTTACTGACCATGCAGGAGAGTTGATTCGGGAGCAGGCTCACAATAAGCATGAGGTGCTTACTCATACTCATCACATTCAAGCAAAAACACACACACACACACACACACACACACACACACCAAAAAAAAAAGTGTAGATATACAGGCTTCCACATAAACACGGCAAACCAAATCCTTTTTCCTAATGTCTCTAATCAGTGGGACATGGTTTTTCATTTTGCCTCTCTATGAGCTTGACCTAAATTCGTAGCCCCTCTCACCCACCACCCGAATGTTTAGCTTGTCACAGAACATTCATAATTAATTCCTGTTGCTTTAATATAAATAAATACATGAAGTCATTTTCATAACTGCTTGGCAACTCTCTATTTATAGCCAGGGTAATGATTTATTAACATCCTCATCAGGAATCAAACGCCTGCTTTTGAATTTTACATCTCATTGACAAGCCAAATGCCGATATCCTGCCACAACAAACGACATGTCTTCCATTTGGACAAAAAGCCGTCGAGGGTAATTCTCATAATTATACTCACCAGGGAAATAGTTACAGCAAAGGCAATTTAGTTGGGTACGGTTGAGTACTATAAATGCACACAGCTACAAGGACTTGATTCAGTAAGTGACAATTGGGATGCTCTCTGCCCCGTTAGAGAATGCTTTCTATAATGGATCCATGGGATTTGCAGTCTCCTCTCAACTACCTGGATGTCTCTTGTTGTTTTGGGTGGCCTACTTTCTAGCCTGGCTCATGTCATGAATAACTCTGTATGGCTTTGTGCTGCAAAGCCCTATTCCATACTGGAGACACCGCTCTCTGTGTGGATGGTCTTCCCTTTATTTTTACTCTGCACAGGAAGTCCCCATTACTGGGCTTCAGTATTGGCAGATGAAGAGATTGTGACGCACATAACCAGTGCTGCATGTGTTAAAGCAGGTAATTAATAGTCAAAACAAATTGAGGAAGTTGCAATTTGTTGGAATGCATTGTTTACACTGTTTTTTCTGGTGATATGTTTGTTGCTCTAATCAGGGCCAGTATTTATCCAGCATCTTAAAATATGAAATAAGCACTGACTGGCTAAAAATTCCAGGGGTGATGGATTTTTTTGTCCATTTAGCAGTAAGAGTAAAATGGTATTATCTTTCTGAACTTAGTAAATAATACAATTTATATAGATTTGTCCCAGAACGTTCAGGCAGAAACAATCTGTGAGAGGGGAGATGCTTTGGTAACGCTTTATGACAATAAGCTTGTTAAAAGATACCATTATTGACAAGAACAGAGTCATTCTTATGACTGATTTTGTGCTGGTGCAGAAAACTCATGCTGTTTCTGCAGAAACCACTGTCCTCACAATGTTACACTTTTTTGCAATGGGGAAAAGCAGCTTTGCATCTGTGATGATTCTGTGAAAAACAACAATTTAAATAGTAATCAAAACTCTGATTGCTCAAATCAAACTTTGATCGCTTTTATCTTCATTAGGCAACACCATTAAGATAAGCCGCAAGACAAGGCTGCTTAGTAAGAGTGCAATAAAACTAAATTAACTTAATTGGGATAACTCAGCTTAATTACAACAGGTACAATCTATATCTTATTTGTTATCATTAATTATAGCAGAGCTACAATAACTGAGAGATGTGTTCATACATACAGTATGTGTATTGTTATGTTGCATTTCCTGGGTGACAATACAGAAATTATTATTTTCTCCCACCAACCTGGAACATAAAGTATAAAATTTCATGTTCTCTGTGGAGAGGCGTGCCACAGCGCACAAGAGGATTTCCAGCATCCTTGCTGTGTGTGCAACACTGATACAATACATGCAAAATGTGGCATGTTTTGTAAAACAATGTGCTTGGATAAGGCCGATATGATAATTTCCCGCAGCTGAGTCAAATTAACTGCTATTCTAATTTGCATACGTTTTAAGCCAGACGAGTACCTTGCCAGTGTTTACTTAAAGTCTTCTTTGTAAATGGAGTATTGGTAAATAAAATGATAAGTTTTAAGCAATTTATTAGTTTTGGCATCCTATGTATTATCTTGGCAAACCAAACCGCAACTGTCAGGAAAAGTACAAAACGTCACCATCATTTCTGCTTTTTGGCTCTGTGTGTTGTAAAACAGCGAAGTCACACTCTCTCCTACCTGATAAATAAATCTCTTCTCTTCATTTTGGTAAATGTTCAACATCCATTTTCAAAATGAAAACTACTCTCTTTCCTTCTTTCCACTACTCGTGACCAGTTTTAGCGTTTTGCCTGCAGTCTGCCTCTGGTGCAATCTACTCAAGGTTTCAAGCATAAAACATCTGATAGGCAGGAGAATTTCACATATTATTTTCAAAAGACTCCACATCTTCCCAGTAAGTGTCAAGTCCAACTCCAGTCAAGTGCAGTTGTTTGCAGAGAGACAGGAGGATTAGAAGTTGCAATTTTCATTTCACCTGCTGAAAGCTTGGATGGGAAAGTTTTTACAAAGTATAGTTAGTCATTGCTAATCATACTTGGCAGCACAGCCTCTTTTCAAGAGAGCTTGTGGGTACGGAAGACATCTTACAAGAGCCTAAGTGGTTTCTAGACATGTACTGAGGTATGTATATTTTCATGACATGGAGTTCTCCTTTATGTGTGACTGATCTTGTGGGTGTTTTGCTAGAAAGTTTCTGAGCCTCTGGAAAATGTGACATTATATCATCATCCAACTCATCTGAGAACTGTAAAAAACTTCCAATTTTGTGGTCAAAGATGTTACCGAATAAGAGAGTTCTCATGTTCGGTGACAAGATGCCTTAATCTTAAACCTTAAATCTAATAACGTAACATTCCCAGTCATGTATGTTAATAGTATTTTTCACAGTTTTTTCTTTTGTCTGTTTGAACAGTGCCTTGCAGGCCTGGTGTTTGTTTCAAAAGTCAGTTGATCTCCAGGCCTGAGGACAGCTGAATTTGGATGCTGGTGACTCTTTCAGTAATTAACTTGAGAGTGTTGAGTAGTTGACTGAGCACATGCAGGTGCACAGGAGGCAGGGGGATGCTCTGTGATCTTTTGTTACCATTTTCGCATGGCTTCCCTCAACATGAGTTTGAATGGGCAAAAAAGGGGGAGGGGGCGAGGGAGTCACAGGTGTGGAAAATAAGGGGCATGTAAATGATGTTCAGTTAAAGAAATACCACTCACTGCAGTCACAACTTCTGCTACAATACAGTACAACAAAACAACACAAGGCCAAACAGCCATCTGAATTGTTTTGGATTATCATTGGAAGCTGTCATCATATCATCTCAGTGTTTTCATAAATCTTTTGATATTGGACAACCTGGGGTGAGAGAGATTATTCAAATCTGCGTGGGTGTTTGGCCACATCTGCACTTAAAAACACAACAGGGCAAGGTGCTTATAAAGTGAGGACACAGTCGAATGCATCACGTTGGATCACATTTAGCCTCCAACAGTTGATTCACATGCAGATATACACGCATTGTTTTTGTACTTTGTACCAAAATCTTTAGTGAAGAATTCATGAGAGGAATACAGTCCTATCAGCAACGAATGTGAGGGTATAAGTATAAGTGAGCTGAAACAACGGATAAAATAGCTTCACCTTAACTGCACTGAAGCGTTTGCAAAGCATGTTATCAAGACATGCAAAGGCACTTCTCACTAGCTGTGGCTAGGGAGTAGGCATCAATGTACCCATATAGGCCATTACACCAGAATGCTGTGGTGTGAACTGGAGGTGAGTGTAAGGCAGGAGCTGGTGTAAAGAAAGAGTTAACTGCATAAAGGGGAAAGATAAACACATTACTGCCTCGCTAGTCGCCGCGAGTAGCATAATGAACTCCTAATCGCTGCTGAGGGTGTAATTCATCTATGAAATCAGCAGCAAATTGAGATGAGGAAAATCACTTTCTGATCCATCTCATGCCGTAGCTTAGCAGGAAGGATATTGAACGCTGTGCCTCTCAAAAGGTTAGGAGTAACACTTCCCTGTCAGCATCGATATTCTGTCAGTGGAAAACTTCCCCTCCGTGCCGTCTTGTACACATGGCTTGCCAAGCAGCACGCGCAACTCGTGAGTCCAGCAGATGAATGCATCTGTATTCTGCCCAGTGCTGGCCAGATAAGCAATGACTAGCACATCAGGTCAAAATGTCAGATTCTCAATCAACTCCGGTAGCACCCAATGTCAAATGCTTTGTTGAGTAGAGCGCAGCTGTCAAGAGATGGAATGTGTTGAATCAAACTTCTATTTACCCCTCATTTCTCTCTGCCTTCCTCCTCCTCCAGCTCCTCACCCTCATCTTCCTCCACCTCCTCAAACTCGCTTGTCTCCCTCTCCTGAATAAGGCACAATAGTATATGTTGAGCCCCAGGCGTGAGAGCTAAGATAATGGCATCTGGAGCTGCCGGCACCCCCATCTGTATCACTCTTCAGGCTTTTCAGGATTCTGGTGCTTAACATCAACCCTTCCTCCGCTTTTATATGCCTATTTCTGTCTGTGGTGGTCCTAGTGTAGGTTTCCACGCACATCAGAGCTATGTAAATATGAAATCAAAAGAAAATGAGCCCATAACTTATACAGTCACTAAAGTGTGTGTGTGTGTGTGTGTGTGTGTGTGTGTGTGTGTGTGTGTGTGTGCGCTACCTTAACACACTGTTTGTGTTTTCATTTTGTGTTTGTACAAATATGCATGTGCGCAAGTGTTTGGACAAGATAAAAACAGGGCCAAAGGAATGAAAGGGAATTTTTTTTAGAGGAGGGAGAGAGACAGACAAAGAGAAGGGCGGTGACAGAGAGAGAGAAGGCAAAAGGGAAAGAAATGACTCACCTTCTCTGCCGACTGGGCTGTGCCAAAGAAAATCGGGATGAAGGCCAGCCAGACTATGCAAGTGGTGTACATAGTGAAGCCAATGGGTTTGGCCTCATTGAAGTCTTCTGGTACATCCCTAGTCTTGATGGCGTAGATGGTGCAGGTCACCATCAAAAGGATGCTGTAGCCCAATGAGCAGATTATCTGTAGGTCTGTGATGTCACACTTCAGCACACCACGAGCCAGCATGGGGTTGATGGTTTTCTGCTCATCGTAGTCGATGATGGTGTTTGGAGGGTCCACGGCAAACCACACCAGCACACCCAGCAGCTGTACGCAGATCAGACTAGAAGTGATGGCAATCTGGGAAGTGGGACTGATGAAGCGTGGGGCTGCGACCGTTTGCTTGCCCTGCTCAAAGATTCGATAGATGCGGTTGGTCTTGGTGAGCAGTGCGGCGTAGCTGATGCACATGCCAAGGCCCAGGAAGATCCTCCTGAAGGCACACACAGCTACATCAGGCTTGGCAATCATGAGGAAGGTGATGATGTAACACAGAAAGATGCCAGTTAGCAGCACATAGCTCAGCTCTCGGCCCGACGCCCGCACGATGGGAGTGTCATTGTAGCGTACGAAGGTGGCCATGACAAAGATGGTGGCAATGATGCCAAGCATGGCCAGGAAGACGGGGATAATTGCCCAAGGTGAGTGCCACTCCAGCTTGACAATGGGGATGGGCTGACAGGCGGTTCTGTTGGGGTTGGGCCTCATGTTGTAGGCACACAGTCTGCATGACGTCTCGTCGTACTGGTACTGGTAGCCATCACATAACTCACAGTGCCAGCAGCACGGCATGCCCTTTACCCTCTTCTTCCTCTCTCCAGTTTTGCAGGGCAGACTGCACACAGAGATAGGCACCTCTTGCTCCCCATCTGGCCACTGAAGCTCCTCCAGCTGGGAGAGAGATGACAGCACAGGAAGAGAGGGTTAGCAACAGGCTGATAAGCCAGAGGTACCACTGAATATGAGAAATTATGAATATGTTCCGACAAAGCTTATTAACTGGTGACTAATTACTATATTATGATTTTGCATAAACAAAGTACAAGGCAATCCTTGCAAACAGCTAAAAAAAATTGAAATGCAGTTGAAAAAACGATTAACCTAATACAGTACAACAACTTTCTTGCCAATTTCTTCCAGGGATTGCCTTTTCTAATACTTGAAAGTAATTGAAATCACCATGGCAACAGAGCTTACCTTTGTTCAGTGAAATAAAAATAAATAAATGTGAAATGCAAAAGACATTATGTTTTAATACAGGAGCCAGTGAGGTATGAAATATGTGATGATAAGGAAGGAGAATGGGATTTGGGATTGCAAAATGCCTCTTTTAGACTTTGCAGAGCTATTTCTATTTATGATCATGTCATCAAAATGAAAAGTGCAGTGTACAGACGCACTGAAGAACTATCAAAACCCTTATCCAAAAAGGCCCTGAGGTGCTTCATGATTTAAGCTCAAACTACAGTATAGTCTCAACATACAAGTCAGCCTGTAAAAAGCTGTGAAGAAATGGAATTTTTAGGGCTCTTACAAATTTTGTTAGGGCATTAAAAAAAGCTAGGTAATATTCAGAGCTGATCTTTTGATTTATTATGAAAGTGCACTGATCCATGGCTTTTAAAGCAACAGAAGATTAAAGATACCCCTACATGGTTTAGGCAACTTCACAGAAATATATCGGCCAAGTAACCAAAGTAAATTACTTGGACTCCAACAAACAAAAAGAAAAAAGATTCAAGTGGTACTATATTAAACTGATTTTATTGTCATCTAAAACTGCTCGAATATGACATATTTAAAAGGGGCTTTGGGACAATGAGTGTATAACAGCCTACATTAAAATCAGAACGGCATAGCGTAAAACTATATTAGAAATGAAGAAGAATTAATTTTAGTGATATTTTAGTGTGTATTATGCCTTGTAAAGTGAATTTGTGAGCTAAAGGTACCCTGTGGAGTTTCTGTCATCTAGTAACGCTACGGAGCAGTTTTTTAATGTGTGTCCCTGCTTTGTTTGTCTCGTCTATGTTCACAAGGAAACATGCTCTTGATGCGCTATGCAGTCCTGTCAATAGATTCACATCATTGATCTACAGGTGGCGGTAATGCGCCAAGCAACACAACAAAGCCAAGACTGCAAGATTTAAAATACATAACACTAACACATAAATAGTGCAAATGTTTTATGAGGAAGGCAATGCATTCAACATACTGAATTTAAACACTATACATTTACTTGTTTTCTTACCAAAAGTTAGATGAGAAGATTGATACAAATTTCCCTATTAGCATGTTATATCTCATTTGTTTAATCTGTACAAAAAACAGCCGCTGGTTACCTAGCAATGTCATGATTATTGCTAGACTCAGAGAAATAATCTGGCACATAAGCCCTTGTAAAACCGCAACTTCAAATTTTTACTCTTCAGTTTTGTACAGATTGAACAAAGGAGATGCAGTGTGGTATTTGTGAGCTTGGGAGAGGCTGGTAGGTGGGTTACTTGTTAGGCTAAGCTAACCTTTTCTTTTCTTTACTTAGAGACATTAGAGTGGTATCGACAACACATGGGCACTGCTCAGGCAGGCAGTGTGACCCCGGCCGTGACTCCCAGCATGAATAAGTAATATTCCTTAAAATACTAAAATATTCCTTAAAAAAAAAAAAATACAATTTTTCATCACGCATCACCTCTTTATTTCTGTGGTGTGAAATGGAATTCAAACAAATGTTGCGCACACATACCTCATGTTACTAAATACCGGCAGATAGAAAATTCCACTAGTTACAAATATCCTCACATATAACATGAGACCAGCTGAGGATACTAACAGCATTGCTTCCTCCAGTCGGGCAACTGCCAATAATTGCAGACACAGAGCTGTACCTTTGTAGCAAACACACACACACACACACACACACACACACACACACACACACACACACACACACACACACACACACACACACACACACACACACACACACACACACACACACACACACACACACACACACACACACCTACAGTGTGTTTCTGTTGTGTGTACCTGTATGACAAATGTGTTGTTTCTGTGGTGTCTGGGTAGATTATCATCTGCCATTTATCTGGGGGCATGAAGGTGCCATTTGTTATTTGGACAATGAATGGTGCTCTCTGGAAAACCTCCCGATTACACACAGTGTGGCAACGGTAATGAGACCAACAGCTCTGTTGCTATGGAGACCAGAAGCAAGATTTTTGACACCTTGGACTCATACAGCTGCCATAATTTTTTCATTTGGGCTTTTGCTTTAGTTGTTAATTTTTACAATTAATTTGAGCTTGACAGCTGGAACATTATTACATTGTACTTCTTTATCAATGATCACAAATCATCATTCCAGGGTAACCTTTAAATTAAACTGCTCTTTATGTGTTAGTGAACAAATAGCTATTGCATTGGAATATAATTGCACTATAACGGCATTCGGTTTGTAATCACACTAAAACAGAAGTCTCCAGCAACAAACGTTGTTCCACCTGTGCCATCACATCCATTGGGTTGAGTTTAATTCTTGTGATCCAGAGAGCCATTATGCAAATGTTAACTCATCCATATGTAAATATCATGTTTTTGTAATCTCAGTTACATAGAAATACCTAGAAATTTTAGCCCAGGTTTCATCCTATCATGCAGTGTGGGCAATTTCAAACCATGTTTGTAAAATCAGTTTCTTTATTGTCCACATGAATCACCCAAGCCCATTCTAGTGTTGTGACAGCGAGATCTATTACAGTGGCTACAAACCAACACCTTGCACCTAGAAAAGCAGCACAGCAGCTGTCTCCAGCTCTACACCTAACACTAATATTAGACAGTATTTTTTGTAGGTGAATTAAAGTTATTTAAAGTTAGCATGGAATGAATAATGCCTTATCCATGTTCTTATCCCATGGGTTCTACTATCTTTTGGATATGCGAAAAAATAAATTACATTTTCACACATTTTCCTATTAAAATCCTTCACTTTTCTTATAAAGTACCCAGAGCTTTCATATGATTTATCTTGCTCTCTTGGGTGTACCTTAAATTACGTCTGACAAAATGTGATCATAGATTTAGAGTTTCATCATGTACAGTAAAACCTGCAGGAAAGCTCCCGAGCACCAAGAGTAACATGGGAGGTGTGTATCGAGGTGTCAGTTTCCAACAACATCAACATCTTCCGCAGCTCTCTGCTGCCAAATACTGAACATATACAGTCTGACACTTGGGTTAAAAACACTTCCTCCCACTCGCCTTCACCGTCAGCCCTCCAACCTATGCAGTGATCTCCAACAACGGAGCAACATCATTGTCTGTTTTCTTTCTACTTTCTTCTTTTTAATGTTGAACTCTCAAATCAAAACCCTCACTGATGTTATAGTCTAGAAACATATCAAACGTCTTTTTAATAGCATACAAATTGTGACCACCTAAAATTATCACACTTTATCCACCTTCACATCTTAAAATCCTGACTTTTTTTTTCTTTTCTTAAAACCCTTGGGATATTTGATAACCTTTGATAAAACTACGTTTCAATTATGAATATACACATTTGTCTTCTTAAAGTCTGAAAGTAACTTCCTGTGGGACTAACATTAGTAGGCAACACATCAACTGAGATGTGCGTGTGTTTCCCTATTCATTGCCAGAGGAAAATATTACACCTGAGGAATTTTGAACATTTATCTTCTGAGTAAAGATTAACACTGCCTTTTTCTTGCTAAATTACACAAACAGATTCATTTTTGCACCTAGAACACATCAATTAGACTGAAAGCAAAACATGCCTGCACCTGAGCTCTCTTCGTATTTGAGATGCAAATAATGTGCACCCCCTTGTCACATAAGAGATTTCAATTTTGGAAAACATGGGAAGTCTTCACGCTTATAAATCTTTAGCATTTAGACAACATTTGGCATTGTGTGTGTCTGTTGTCTGTGTGTTCCCTAGTACCAGTAAATCATCATACCCTGAGCTGGAGGGTCTCCACCCACTGTCCTACCACCTTATACTCTGGGGTGGAGGAGTTGGTCATCTGGAACTGGAACAGGTCATAGCGTCCTGGAGCATCGCCGTTCTTATTAAACACAACAGTGGTGCCAGCACTGCCTGTACAGAGCGAAAGAGAGAGAAAATGCAGCAAAAGGACATCAGAATGGTAAAGTGTTAGACACACGCTGATGTGACAAAGTAAAGCATCTCTTCCAACAAAAGAATAACATGAACTCTTAACCCCTTGCCTCTTACTGTGCGGTGGCCTACATGGACAACACAAAGGACCACAGTGTGTTTGAGTCAATTCCTCCCAGTTAAACCTGCAAACACAATGACCTATATCTTGAACCTTTATGGAAATCACGGGCAGGGAAGCAAACTCCCTACTGACCAATATAGCACTTCCTCACCTGCTTCATATGAATCATCGCAGCTGCACAACGGCCACTAGAGGAATATATTTTCACATTCAAAACATGGTTGGATATGTGAAGTTCCAGCTGTGCTCTAATATCATATATTCGCTGCTATTTCAAATGTATGCACACCTCCTTCAGTAATGCATGTCTGTCACACAGCGGACAACAACAGGAGATATAGGGAGGATTCACAGGTCAGCCAAAGCATCATACGGTCCCCATCTGCTCTCAGTGTGTAGCAGCCTGTCTCAAGCAGAGCCCTGAAGATTTCACTAATTAGCTCAGAGAGGACTGCGGACACCTCAAACACTATGCATGAGGAAAAAGAGTTCTTTAAATGTGCATTTGTGCGAGCTCTTGACCCTGTCAGTATATGTTGTGGATGTATTTACATCACTCAATTATATGCAAGGCAGTGTGTTAATGCAGATGTCAGTCAACATCAGATCTTCCTGGCAGTAGTATTGAATGTTGAGTGGCATTAATGGGAAAAACGGTTGTGCTTTATTTTATACATGAGGTCTGCATTGTTGATGAGGTCATTTTTACCATCCCACAATGCTGAGAGAGAATGAAAAACTGCTGCATTTTACAGGTCTATTCACCTTGGCACTGCATACAGTAGCTCATGAGCACGAGTGGAGATACCATTTTTGAAATGGGACGGGGGGAGTCTGATGACACTTGGCATGGGAATTAAGTACTTTAATAGCTCTGGCTATAAAAAGTGTAGAGAAAGGACCATGAGCATGTGTCCAAAACACTTTTGGGAACATGTTGTCTTTTGTATCTAGAACAGAGCTTGTGGCTTTTGGTTGGAAGGCCACTGTACCTTTTCCTTAGTTTTCAGCCAGAAGGGAATTTCATCTCCCTCCAGTTTTTTCTTCCAAGGACATTTGTCATTGAACATTCTACAAAAGTTTCAGGCCAAAAGACTCATGTAAAACAAGAAAGGCACAGGGAGAAAGAGAAAAAGCCCAATTCAGGCGACAGGATAGGGGTCATTTGAATAAAATACTGTGGACCAGCACTCAAATTTTCCTTTTTGACTTTGTGACACCATTGTGCATTACAAATGTCAGCTTGTAAAACCTTAAGTGGCCATTTCGATGTTGATGCAGAGCCACAAATCCCTCACTATCTGCTGTTATGCAAAGTGATGGCACATATATTCCACATTAACAATACAGAAATGGCACCACTGGAGTCATTTGATCCATTGGTCGTAGAACACTAATTCATCGGTATCCATGTGTGTTGGCAATAATGCATGTTCAGAATGAATACCAGTGTACTTGTAAAGCTCACAGTGAAAACGGTCTCAATATGAAAACCAAACTAAAACTCAGTGGGTGGCAGTCACCGTCCTGTCACTTCTACTTTCACCAAACCGACAGTAGACTTGTTGACACAGTGTATAAAGATGTTGACAAGGTATTGACTCCTGTGAGCAAAAGCAGTGACAGGGTTAGCATTCTTACTCCACGCCCCAGCAAAAACATACACAAATAAACAAACACACAGAGTCATTCAGTAAAGTGACATGAGTGATTGGGCACTTGGCGCTCTTCAGCTTTAGAGCAAATAATTAAGTGCCGTTTCTGTGTGTGCAGATAAAAAGGCATTAGAAATTCCTTTGTATTTTCTATTGCCTGATATTTTCAAGGGAACAAAATGGTCTGTGTAGACTCCTTAGTGAGAGCGCTGTCTAAGATGAAAGATTTATGCATTTGCATGTGGCTCTGAACTAAGACATGACAAAAGTGCACTGCTGCTGTGCTGCGCCGAGCAGTGTGGGTGGACTGGGGATCCACTGCTGTGTTTCTCTCGCATCATTATTCTCTCCTTTTTTTCTGCCTCTCACTCCTCAGCTCTGTGACTCGGGCGCAGTGGGGAGATCAACAAAGGAGGCTTACACTCCTTCGCTCTCAAACATACATTAGCAGCAGCACATACACAGGATAATGTGCATGGCTCCAGTCTAAATGCAATAAGGGCCAGTGAGATATGCCTGAGCCACAAAACAACAACCTTTGCTTGCCAGTAAAAAGGTTTGAGTATATAATAGCAAGACAGGAAGAGGTAGAGGTGATAGAGAAAGTAGAGATCTTATTTTTGGCTCAGGTGAAATGAACCTCTTTCTTTGTCAGTGCCACACTGAGGTAAATGGAAGTCAGCACAGGCCCAGATGGTTATTGAGATTGGACAGCAGATTCTCAATCCCATGCATGAATCCGCACTTAGTTAAGGTCTCCTTGAAATCTCAGCACTGCTCAGGCAATTGCATATATTCGGTTTCTTTAGTTCCACCTTAAAATCTGAAGGCTTCTTGCCTGCTGGAACTCTGCACTGCTGCCATAGCGACAGTGTTAGAGAAAGGCAGGCAGCTCTTTAGCCTTAAGATCGCTGACAGAAGTTTGTTTTTGTATGTTTCTGTATAAAAGTAAATGTAAATAGTTATTTGCCCTGTTAAATATGATAAATGTGTTGTTCAAAGTGATGAACAATTTATAAAATGTGCATAGGAACAAACTTTTAATGGATCAATATAATTTTAGAGCATGATGATATAACTCTTTTCCAAAAACTATTAAAAACACATCAAAAATCCCATCGGCGCATTGGGTGATATGTTCCTTTATTATGATAAACATAGGCATTGTTATTTTCAAGTGATACACCGTCTTGCTGCTGAAATACACGCTAGCACAGCAAATGTGTATTAATCCGCAGCAGAAAATAATCCCCAAAAAAAGCACAATTTGTCCTGTTTTATTAATAATTAACGTAAAAAAAATTTCAGTACCCTGCTGTTATAGAAAATGATTGATACAGTTATGAACCATTTCTAAAGATTTAAATCTTCAGTGGGAAGGAATGAGCTTAGGGCAGACACAGACAGTGGTAGGGAAGACACAAAGTATTGACAGTAACAAAACATTTGATACGTTGTCAGCCTTTGTAGAAATTTGATAGGCTGAATCATACAAATATAGATTCCACTGTTAAGTTAACTTTTACTAACTCAGATGTTATGCATATGGTGATGTGTTTTCATAAAATTGAATTTCAAATTGCACTATATAACTTGCTCACAGTATTGAATTGAAGGGCCTGTATCATGATACGTATCGTTTCACCAGATTAATTCCAATAAAAAGCACTAGGCTCAATCACTGCGCACAACTTCGTTTTTTTAGATAGGTCTGTGTTGTTGGTAGGAAAATAACTGAGCCAATCAGAGCTTTTTAGGTCTCACTATTACTAATGGAGAAGACATCTTCCTGTACAGGAGCCAGACAACCAGCTACATCCATGAAGAAAATTGACAAGCATGAATGACACTGACACAGCTGTACAGGTTGTTGCAAGTCGCCTTAGAGATATAACTCTTAAATGAGCAGATGTTTTAGACTGTTGGGCAAAACTTCTGTTTTGACTGAAAATGTTTTCCACAGAACGGATGTCACTCACAAAAGAAAACCCCACCTTCCAAGACGAAATCGGCTAACATGACCGAATAACGTTGTTAAATGAAATGGCAATTCAGTGTTATTCTAAGGATAGAAATGTCAAGTTCAAGTACTACCGCTATTGATGACTAATGGCACTAGAGATGTGGGCTTAAATCAAGTTAAGTAAATACTAGAGATGTGCTGCATGTACAAGAAAATGCATTTAATGACAAAAATGCTTTTTTAAAGTGTTCCTATTTCACAGCAAAATGTGTTTCATTAGCAGGCGATCTATAGTAGCACTATGTTACCTTTTCATTCATTCATTTAACCAGGCATTTAAGCAAGATTTTTCTTCTCCCTGCTCCTTTTCAGTCATTTAATATGTTTAGGTTTATCAGACTGTAGTTTATATTTTGTTTTGGAAATATACACTTAAATGATGCAAAAAATAAAGAATTAAATTAAATGAAGCACTGGGACCTTCAGTGAAGTGTTTGTACAAGATGTCTCTCCAGGTAAAGTACATTCAAGTACATTTTTCCCACAACACACACACACACACACACACACACACACACACACACACACACACACACACACACACACACACACACACACACACAGTAGAGTGTTATTTTAGTACTTTTTTAGTACAATATGACAATGAGCTGGGTCCACCTCTAAAAGTAGGCCAGTTTTGTGAGAAGATTACGCTGATTCTTTACTTTAAACAGCTGAATCTTATCTAGAACATTTTTGTGAAGACACAATGTACTTCAAAAGAGTCTCTAATGATCACTGGCTGACATACATGCCAGCACATTTGTAATGACAAAGGTTTTTCTTGTTTTAAACTCATATTCCATTTGGCTCTCTTCCTCCACTCACTTCTGCATTTTAGAGCAGTTGTCATTAATAGCTATTTGCCATTAATTGTTAAGTATCTTTCACATCACTTTCTGTACAGGGCTGAATAATGTAGAGGTTCAAGTACTGGCAGACCCATAATATATCACATTGGCTTAAAATATTCCACAGATCCAGAAAATGTTGTGGTGCATTGAAATATGAATGAAACTGAATGTAAATTTTAAAGTGTAGTGTAGCCCACAAGCACATGTTGCATGAAACAGAGGAGGTATGTATTTAGTACCTATTTGCCTATTTTTTATAGTCTGAAACTGAGATGATTCTCTTGTGTCCAGAATTTTGTTGCTCTCTGAATTACAATTGCAGATGGGTGTGGACACAGCAGCTTTGAGTAAAATACTTGAGTAGTAATATCATTAGTATCATTTTAAGAAATAGACTTTGCTTTCTTGCTGAAAGTTAGATGAGAAGCTTGATGCAACAGAGACAGCTTCACTTGTTCTTCTGATGTTTGATGAGCTCATACCTCCTCAGACTCAAGCCTGTCAGGATCAGCTATATTTTGTGCTTAATGCTAACATTAATGTGCTACAGGTAGCTAAAATGTGTATATTTGGGGGCAATTTGATGTGTGCCTGCAAGTTTAAAGCAATTTGCTGAGAATTAGATAAGAATATCGATACCTGTAGTGTAAATGTTTCACTGCCAACAGGAGACAGTTAGCTTAGCTTAGCATAAATAATGGAAACAGAGGCAAACGGCTAGTCTCTGTCTAATGATAAAAAATCCACCTACCAGACTTAACACATTGTATCTTATTTGTTTAATCTGTACAAAAGCCGACTCATAAAAAGCACAATTACCTGGCTTTAGGGTTGAGCCATGCTAAGTGTTTCCCCCCTGTTTGTACTAAGCTGAGCTAGGCCGCTTTATATTTAGTGCACAGAAATGAGAAGGGTATCAATCTACACGTCTAACACTCAAGAAATTGAAAAAGCATATTTTCCAGATGGTAACTTTAACTAATATACAGTACTAGGGTCAGTAAGCTTATTGAAGTGTGACATAATTGTTTTACTTCAATCATATGGTTCATCCATAAATTCCTGAAAGCTTATACATTCTCTTATTTCATATTTTGCTTTAATCTACAGTTTATTGTATTCTTCTAACGAAGCAGTAGAATAGAGTGTAGCTGCAGTGATGATGAGTAGCTATAATCTAATTTTAACTTCCTTGCTAGAGTCAGTATAAAATGTCCTCCAAAACTCTGCCTAAGTAATAATATAACTCATTTTACTTTTCTTCTCCACACATTCTGTAAGTATCTGACTGCAGACTTTTATAATTTGTCACTCACCGTTGAAGCTGGTGTTGCGTATGTACTTCAGCAGAGTCTTTCCTTCAGCAGACTCCATTTGTGGACAGACGCCAGGATGATCAGGACATAAGTCCCTATGCATGTTGTGGAGAGCGTGGGCCATGGCATACACCGCGTCAATCACAAACTGCACCTTCCCCTCCTGCTCGTACTTGGAGTCTATCCCGATGCGCTCCTGGCCTGAGGCGAGGAAAGGAAGAGGAGGACTTACAGCCAAATGCACCATAAACTATTAGACATTACATCCTTGCAGCACTGCATATCTTCTCCAGCTTCATTTTTATTCATACATTTACCATTTGCTGCCAGTTAGTTTAGTTTTGATTTTGTGGGAATTACACCTAAAGGTACATTGTGGCACAGAAAATAAGAAGACACATTTAATTCCCAAGTGGAAAATATCAAGCTGAGCTGTGAGACAAAGTGTTTGTGACAAACACAGCAGACTCAGATTGAATTACTGAGGTGTATTTCAAAGTAATAGGCTGCTAAGAACAGAGCTCACTTGTCCCATCAGCAAGGTGATGAAGATCACCATGAACTTTAGTAACATACTCTTCTACAGTGGCTTCCTGCTCTTTTATAGACTCCTCCCAGTGTACTGCCCTTTCACTATGGGCTGCCATAAAGGTTTTGCCTCATGCTGCTGATACACTGCTTGAATACGTAATGTACAACCGCTGCTGGGTTTTTATGTTTGTTACAAATTGAATTAGCTCTTTTATACTCCTGGTAGATCAAAGCTGCACTTAGAAGAGTGAATGAAAATTATAACAACACAAATACTACTATTACTTTTAATAATAATAATCATCATCTTCATGATCATCATCATTATCATCATAATTTTAATATTCAAGCTCTCAGTAAACAAAGAAGCATCATCAAGGAAATAACACAGAATACTAAAAGACCATTTTCTCCTCAGTGATAGCTGTTCATAGTTCACTCACTGGAGGAGCAGATGATGTTAGTAGGAAACATATAAGAATGTGGGGGACTTGCATAAACTGAAGGAGGTCAAATGCAATCTGTGCTGACATTTCATCCCATTTCTCAGAACTTCACATACGTTTCAACCCACACATAACCTTTTTGCTTTTCAAAGTACTGCATAGGGTGCTAAAACGACAGCCCTTGAATGCAAAAGCCTCCCGTTTGCATTTAACATTCATAAATATCAGCTCAGTTTGAGGTATGAAAAATAATATATAGAGAGTTGTACGGCCACTTACAATGAAAAAAGGGGGAAAAAAAGGCATTTATAGTCGTTTAACAGAGGGTTTGTAAGGCTCACTTAGTGGTCAGCATCTTCTGTCTTTTACGCATGATAAAAGACGGCAAACAAGTGATTATAAAGGGAACGGAATCCTTCAGCGAACAGTAATTTGTGTCACCCTGCCATCACCGTCATCACGTATGCAAGTAAGAAATAATACAGCAACCCACATCACAGGCATCATCCTCATAGATAATAAATGCAGTGCCATGTCTGTCACACCGTTGGCAGGCAGAGTTTAGGTAATACGAGTATGCATCACTGTTAGCAACAACACTATCATTAATGCTACCACAAAAATGCACATGAACAGTATTTACTTAGCTTTCTGTCATTTTCTCTGTAATTTCCAAACTAAATAAAGTGTACTCTGGCTCTGTGCAGTTAGTACACACGGCACGACTGTGCTGAGCTGTCAAGGTGACTGGGTTAAGGGGGAATAGAGGGAATAGGGGATTTAGGAGTTACAGGACATTAGCCACAGGAGCAGACGGTCTCTAACTGTAGTATGACTAAGACACGTGGTGCATTATTATTCTAATAATAAACTCTGCTTGTCCTGCACCCGCTGGGTAGAAACACCTGGTGTTAGACTTTCTGGCTGTGCTGCAGACAAGAGGGGTTGAATTAAAACCCCAACAGTCTATCTGCAGCTTCTAATGCGAACAAAAGGTCAAGTTCACATCAACCTGACATAGGAGGGCAAAAATATGCATCATATATTAGTGTTATACAGAAATGTTCCTACTTTGTTCATGTCAAAACTGATGTACCTGTGCATTTACGGCTGGAATCCTCTCTCTTTGAGGCACTGAGGAGCCTGCAGTCAAAGTTTTCCTCCCAAAACTCTGCAAACCACACATTCCTGCGATTGTTCTCCAGGGTGAGAGCAGTAAAGTATTCATCAAACCCTGTGAATAGAGGAAAGAGGAGGATAGCTCAGTTCCGGACCAATTATCAACCAATTGAAACCTGGAGGAAATGAAGCGAAACTTGTGCAGCAGTACAGTGGTGGTGGTGTGGTGGTGGCCGCTAGGTGTTGGAAGCACAGCAGCAAGCCCTACTTCATCAAAATTTGACCAAGGTGGTTCCTCTTCCTCTCCAGCCCCATGGAACTTTAATCACTTCTTTCATCTAGGAAATTACATTAATTAAAAAACAGGATGCATAATAAATAACGACGGGATTGTAAGTGGTGCTGCAGCCTGGTGACTCAAGCTGCAAGGTCCTGTAGGTGCCGAACAGGTTTTCTTGACTTCATGAAATCCATTACAATAGAGATGGATTGAAAGCATGATGTATTAGCTTAACACTCATTTCAGCAGGACTTAGGTGCTTGCATGAAGCATTAGCTTGAGGAGAGATGACTTGCTGTAACAAAGGAGAAAAAAGAAAGCCTGTATGCTGAAATTTGTTCTCGTTTGTGCAACTTTACCACCCAATGTGGGTCAGGAAACTGAGCTGGGATACCGTGAGATTCATGGTGCAGTATTCTTTTTACTTTTTGTTACAGAAACACAATTTTCTGTCTGGAGAATAATCCGTATTTTCACATTTTAAGGTCTCTCTGTCTGCGTCTCCACTCTTGGTTATCCAGTCATATCAGCTGAGTCGTGGGTAGAGGTGATAATGGCTAATCAGAGCAGAATGACTCAGCTGATTTTCTTTTCAAAAGACCATCAATGATGCATGGTGAATTAATAATATTCTCGTTGCCTCCAGAGTGTACATTTGTCCTGGCTAGACCTCCCCTAATTAAGGAAAGCTTCATAAAACTCAGACTTTCAAATTTCCTCGATTGTGATGATGAGTGGTTATTAGGACTGTGACACTGGACAGAACTTAAAATAGATGGTGCATGCTGAGAATATTCTATTTCTGTGGCGAATTTGTACATGTCCTCTCTGACAATGCAGCAGTATAATTTCCTCGTTTGCCTCCTTTTTCCTGTGGGCGGACTTATTTAAGCTACATTTTTAAAAGAGAAATCCAACCCCAGGCACGTTAAAAAACGGACTGATAATAGTATTTATTTTGGAGTTTAAAGAAAATGTTAAAACTAAATTAAACCCTTTTTCTCAGACCCAAAATTTTTGTGTCCCTTTCAACAATGATACAAGATACCAATTTCTCCATAGACAGCAGTCTATATAATAAGTAAAAATACACTGATGAGAAAATCTGTGGTTACTGCAAAAGGTGACACAGTTTACACTGCTTGGTTTCAGTGTCTAATAAAATCTTCAGAGTAGCCAATTTGACCAAACTGACTTTAGTCTGGTCATGTACAACTGGCAGCCAAATGCAACAACAAGGTCATACTTGTTCTCTCTTGTTGAGTCGAAAGTCATTCTGCAACATTTAGAAAATTGAGGACTGGAGTAGAAATAGAGAAGGCAGGTGAAACTGTGGGTGCATAAAAACGGAGAATATGTCATCACAAAATATCTCTTTAAATGCACTAAATGTCAAATATATCCATTATTATTATCTAAATGTGTTAAGTGGTTTTAAAGGGTGCAAATGTTCTTATTGTCAACCGACTCTGCAGTTCCTGTAAGCTCTATGTTTTAGCTAATTGTTTTGGTTTTATGACCTGCAAGCTTACCGTTTTGGTTCAGTCTCACTGTTCTCATCAGCACTATTTCCAGACGCAGCAAGCAGCTTTTTCTGATGAACAAGCTCTGACAATCCCACTGTACACTACTACTACACTACTATCCGACAGCAAACAGCAGACAAAGTTAGCAACCAGCTAGTTTAAATAGTACATAGAGATATTTATTTACATACATACATACATACATTATTTTTGTGGGTAGACAGCAAAAACAAACCTAGAAGGAGAGTGAATATTCAACAAACATTTGCCAGATGGTCAGAATTGTGACTCTAAATGAATGCTAATATAATGGCTGTTTACTGTTTACTAACACGTTCACAAAGACAACTTTATGAATAAATAATACGTCAATGTTGTGCTTAAAGTTTGTTGCTCCTTCCATGTAGCCAGAATAAAAAGGCAAAAAAAAATATTTAAAGCAGCTGTTATCAATATTTTTATATTAACAATGGAAAACTACTTGTGCTAAACAAGAGCTGATACGAGAGTTAATATTGGACTAACATTTGCCTTGTAGTCAAAACACGACTCCAAATGAATGCTAATGTTGCTCCGTAACTGCTGAATCTGCAAATAGACAACTATTTGCAAAGTCATATCAGCTTAAAATGTGATAGATAAAATGTGTGTTGTGTTCACAGTTTGTTTCACGGCCTGCAAGTTATCCAAAACACAATTATTGCAGGTTTATCATTTGTTTTTTGTGAGTTTTCTGTCTATAAGTAATTACACACACCATTGGGTTAAAAAACCAAAAGGGTTACTGTCAACAAAACAGTACAGTAGAAAACAATACAACATGTGAAGTGTGCAGTGAGTGTTTCTGTGTGTGTGTGTGTGTGTGTGTGTGTACCTTCAATGGAAGAGCGTTTGGGCAGTATAGTGACTGCTCCCACCGCTACATCCTCGAGCTGGTGGATCGGGCTGCTCTTGGCCCCCCAGCTGTCAGATCCAATCCACAGGAAATGGCCGACCTGATTGGCCCTCTTGGTGGCATTGAGAACTCCCCTGCAAGGACATTTGTGTGTGAATTAGGAGAGAGCACAAGAGGTGTGTGCAATCTAATATCTATTACACAAAGGCACAGCTAGCTTTAAGGAGTTGTTTGGACATTACAGCTCTGGCATGGATAGTTCTTCAGTTTCCGATGGAGAAGAGGAGAAACTATTATTATTTTGCATTAACTGGTATTTTTAATCCTTTATTCAAATATAACAGTGAGTGTTAGAATCATTTATGTCCATGTCTCTCACTCATCTTCTCTTTTCTTTCATTAATACATACACTTCTGGATTATTCATTCAGAATTTTCAGGTACTAAATGTTTGATTCTGTGTGTTCTTTACAACATGTCCCATGGGGCATTGTAAATGAAACAATATCTCTGTTTTGTTTTGTTGTGATCTGTGTTCTCACTTCTCCTCTGAGGCATGCTTGTCTTTGTGTTGTTGGAGGTATATTTGTGTAGCACGCATGGTAAATCTGCGCCTCTAGCCTCTCTTCAGGAGCTGCTACTCAGAGATTAAAGACCTCAACATGGCAAGTCAACAACGCGCCCGAACAACATGGATGAAGCCAGAATGAGCTGCGCTCCTCACCGTATGTCTTCTTCACTGGCAAAGATGATGACTGCCCGCGAGTGCTGTGTTTCCAGCAGCTGTTGGATGGCTTTGTCATAATCCTCCAGTTTGGGGTTGTGGGGAATTTTCAAAGACTGGGCGATGCAGATTCCACCTTTTTAATGGGAAAGGAGTAAGAAATGATAAGGCCTCTGGGTAATCACACCCATTCACTCACTCTCGCACACAGATAAACGCACACACAAAAGCCTGGGGTCATAATAGCTGCTTTTTTTCCTATGGAAATGGAAAACATCTGAACACAATACTGAGAGGATGCTGTCATGCTTGCTATGGAGTCTAAATGATAGCTGTACAGTGTATACATTTACATTTTGGCAATGATCTGAAAACCACAGCAGCGTGCAATATAACACTCAAATTGTGCCCTCCGACTGAGCACCAGAATCATTTCACAGAGTGAGAGAGTTAAAAACATATCTGCTATAACAAATTCAATGGTCTACTTCAACAGGGGACATAAAGCTACAGATTTTATATTATGGATTTGAGAGAGTCCAACATCTTGCCATTGACTTTTCATTCAAAGTCATTATCAAACATCTCTTGTTGGAACCTGAACCAATAAGATAGCACAGCCGGCAATAACAAACAAAGACGATATTAATACTGACAATAAATCATTCTCAGACAGGTCACCACTAATGAGTTTGTACAGGATGAAGGTTACTGATTGCTTCCGTGTGTTGCTAAATAGGTGCTAGATATTTAGCACAGTATATTATTACAATTGGCTTTCAGAAGTTTGCTAGATATTGTTGTCTTCAGGGTTACCCTCAACAGCTCATTATCGGGCATAGAGGCAAAATGATTTCTTTCATAAAAAAAATAATAGAGTTTTGCTTCCGTCTGGTGTGGTAATTATGGGTATGGAGGACAAGCTAACCTCTGAGGCACTTTGGATAAACAGATAATATGATCACCTGAGTGATAGAACATCTTAACTACTGTAGGCCTAGACTTGAAGAAGCAGCCTGTGTCCTGAGTCAACAGCAAAGCTCTACCCAAACCAATTAAATTTTCTCCCACTCAAGCATTTTAATAGCCTACCCAATAACCTTTCAGTTTGAGTTTCCCTGAGTAGACAGAGAAATGGAAGGAATCTCCTAATTGCCAGTCTCCTCAGGCTCATTACTTTGATATAAACAGCTTTTAGCTGGCAGATCACACATCTTCAGTTGGGGTTTAGTGTGGCGTTTCTAAAGGCAGAAAATAGCAAAATGACAACTGCTGAACCTCCTCTTAACTAACCATTTTTCAAGTATCAGTTGGCAGAATTGGGAATATTTCTTGATTTGAGAAAACATCCTGTATGTGCCAAAAGACCTCTGGGATGGCAGCTGTTATCCTCCCTAAGTGGACTAAACATAAAAATGGAGATCCCGCAAATGGCCTAGCTGTTGCTTAAGGGTTTGTGGTATCCTGTTAAAGTGAAACGTGCTTGGTGTCATTTGTGCAGAGCAGCCAGCATTGTCAGTCTCCAAGGGACGCCACTAAAGCTCTGTCTCAGCACAGAGATTTCAGTTGATTTCAGCCAGAAAGCCTACAGTATGACACACTTCCAGGTTTCTTTCAGGGAAACTCTAGAAAGAGACTCTAGCACTGCATAATATCTGATTGTGGCGTATTAGCAGCACCCTTCCGTTCTAGGTATCACACGCACATTAATTCCAGAGATGAAAATTTTTTGCAGAGAATTTAAATCTCATGAAAATGTATTAACTCCATTATGAAAAAAAAAAGAAAAACCCTACGGGCTTGTGTGAAGAGTTATAATGGTGTAACAGTCTTGAACAGAGATATATTATAGGTCACAACAGTCAATAATACAGACAGAGACCACAGGAGCCACTGATGAAGATAAGAAGCACTTGGAGCAGATCCCATCTTCAGAGAGCGAGAGCACCAGAGCAGAATGTGCTGCCGGCTTAAAGGTGCCCTACAGGCTGCGGACCGGTGGCTAAATTATTGAATGCCTGCAGAATACCTCATCTGTCAGTCAGTCAGGTGGTCAGTCAGTCAGTTAGTCAGGGAGGCAGGCACGATGGAAATGCAAGTATTGTATCTGTACTTCCAGAGTACTGTGCTGTGAGTCGGACCGCCTTCACCTGTCACTGGAAGGCATTGTGTGGACTTGAAAGAGTCCTCGACTCAAACAGTGGGTTTAAAGAACAGCCGCATGTCTGTCTTGGCTGGAGATGTGTGATGTGAGACGGATGAATGTCAGGCTCTGGGAGAAGAGAGTGTTTTACTCCAACTCGTTGAAGTCTTATCCGAGAAATAGGATTGTATAGTAACACTTTACCTACTGGCTATGTTACAGCGCCAGTATACTTCATCAGAACCGCTTGTTAGATGGCCGAACAGCTTTTGAAACCCCCTCCCTTCACACCTTTCTGATGTGTATATGTATATTATTCATTATACAACTATTTCTGGCCTGGTCTTCCAGGAGAGACTGTTGTGTGCGCAGTTATCCCCATATTTACACAACTGAACCTTCCTAAGCCCTACTCCTTTTTGCTCTGTGCTCTAATAACAGTTGAGCGAGCCTCGGTCAGAACCTCAATCAACTCCTTTCCTGTACTTGTGTTGAAAAGACAAGCGCATTTTGAAGATGGTTAAGTGACAAATATGTTGTCACATTAGCCGTGGTTCACAACGCCCACGTGTTTCTAACAGATTAGAGCAGTCACACTGCTAGTTAATCTACATCAATCGTTAGCTAGCTCGTTACATTTGAAAGCTGATGTTAATAAAAGTAAGATTTGGCTATATATAGACTCTTTTATCTTTTAACTATATTCAAAATGTCATTGTCTTTTCAACATAGACAAGCCTGGCACATAGCGGTATAACTGAGTACAGGAAAGGAGAAGGTTGACCTGAGGACTTAAGACGGGACAATTCTGAACAGATTCCAATGTGGTTGCACAACTAGTTGTATGTATTGGAAACCCAGCCCTTATAGTCAGTGAGGAAATGTAAGTTTGTCTTGTCTACATACTCAAATAGAAGATGTGTTGGTTTTTGAGACTGAAAGTTTTAGCTGCACTTTATTAATTTACTTATGATCCCGCACATAATATCAAAACTATAGGCACTGTGAACCTCTACCCTCTGCTCCACATTGTATTAATATATCAAAGACAGCTTAATGATCACGATGGCCAAATCCATCAGGCTCTTGGAAGTTCTCCGCTTATCTGCCTGAGTGCCACAGGTCATGCACTGCATTAACTGCTTCAATTATTCATCCTCAATGCCCTCGGTTCTGAAAATGCACTCCAGGGCGAGGAATCCAGCTTCGCCATTTTGCTTAGTGAAATACAAATCCCTTTAAATTAGAGGCTCTTGATGGATTCGACCCCCCGCCCGCCGACTCAACACCCTCCAAACCCAAACCTCCAGGGGATCCGTAATGCTGCAATTATATTTATCACCTCGACAGTCACAAGGCAGACCTGCTCCCTCCAGAGTCTCCCCGCCGGAACACGTAGGAGCACATCAAAATGGGCTAACATGCAGCTGACATTCATATTCTACATCTGTGTGCCCTTCCATATCCTGTGTGCTTTTTCACTGTCGGTCTGAGACTTGGCAATGTCGAAGGGTCATGCACTAGTATCGTGGTTTATTTTATGGTGTGTTTGCAGATGCATCAGGCTTCCTCCCCAGTCCTCTCCTACTGCTAAACATGAGTGCTATATTTTATTTTTATTTTATTTTTTTTCCCCCCTCACAGCTCAGACTAGATCTAAAAACGCATCGTGTTGGCAACTCGCTGCAATCAATTCCACAGTGATACTTTGTGGGTGGTTTTCCTCAAATGTGAGTCTTTTTATCAAATGGGAAAACTGAACTCCATCGCTCTGGCCTGAGTCCAGACAGACACAGAAAAATACAAACAAGATTAATCTCTGCCAGCTTCACCTGGAGCCAGAATGAAGGTGCAGAATGGAACAGTGCCTAAACAGGGGAGAGAAAGCAGAGCAAAAAAACAATAGAAAAAAACAGAAGAGATCAATACAGGCTGACCATCACTCCAGTCTCAGCTTGGGGTAATGGGCAGCCATATTGCATTAGTCCGCTAGATGGTTCTCCTTGAAGTGGTGAAGCGAGAATCCTACTAATGCATCTGACATTTCACAGCAACCAAACAGGGCAGCCACAAAAAAAACGTCTCAAGGCCTCAAGGATCAGCTTGCATCGATGCTGCAACATCCACCCAACAATGTTGTTGTTGTTCTGCAGTCTAGCAATTTCTAGAAACTAATGTGGGTTTAATATATCTATTCACAACACACTAACATTACTTTCTAGATATTTTCTCTTTCCATATTCAGTAAGATGTTTACTTTTTACGCCATTCAATTCATTCCCGGCAGCCCTGGTGCAGAACCGGTGCCTTTGAATGAATCCTGTGAATGTACAGTTATGCTATTACATAATTAATGTGTTTATTAAAGATAAGATGCCTTGGGTACTGGAGGCTTTCCTTTAGAGGAAATAATTCCCATTTGTATATGAATACAAAATACTGCAAAGTGACTGCAGCTCAGTAGCAACAAGATGAGTCAACAACAACAATGGCTTATAATTTCATACTCCTTGTGTAGCTGTTCAAGAGTCATAATAATATCAGTGTGTTTACTGCGCTTTGCATAAGAAAAAAAATAAACATCAGTGGAAAATGCATCTCAGAAAACCAGCTGGAAGCAAGTGCGTTTATTACAGGATATAAGATGAATGAAACTTCCAAAATAAGCCTTAAATAAAGACTTTTCCTTATTCGTTCCTACACGGGCTACTTTCTCTTTCTCTCTGTCGATGCAAATTACACGGCCACAAACAGCTTCCTAAAGTTTTAATGAGTGATCACACTGGACACGAATGCACACAGATAAAATATTCATGCATGCTGGACTTGTGATTGGTGCCTGTGGGATATCATTAGCTTTCCCCGTTTTAGAGGTTTCCGCACATTAGTCTGTTAGAAGAGACAGAGATCACTCCCTGCAGATTTACAGGAAATGGATTGGGATCCATCGAAGTCGTGGTTAGAAGCAGCAAAATACTTGCTCCTGTTGTCATGAGTTGCATGGATGTGCCGTCATGGTTCATGGAATGGTATTTTTTCCAGCCCAGATAACATCCATCCTAAAGTGATTATTTCACAGAGATGGAAAAGGGATTGGAGTTCTGGACACACAGCTATTGCCACTTTTTGTGCATTAAAAACATTCTTGCATTCACGGTCAGTCAGTTCAAACAGACCGTGCTGTAAAAATGCATACATGTCCTGATCTTTTCGAAATGCCGCAGCTCTAACTGGAAAGTCTCTACAGCACAGCTCTAAAGCACAGCACAGTAAACCACATGATTTGACAAAGATAGCCGTTGTACTGTACAGCAACTGAGCGTCTCCTGGCGACAGCAGTGACTGCTGATTCACATTTACCACCACATGCCAACAACAGCATCAATGTGGAAAAAGCAGGTGAGTCAAGCATGTGCATGATTTTCAGCCCAGTTAAAGGCAAAACCCCAACACCTTCTCTGAATGCAAATTTATGTTGTAAGTATTCTTCAAGATCCTTATTCTAAACTCTCAAAACCCAAACAACTTAGCTGTTAAGCCTGAAAAAGGATCATTGCCACTTTAAACAATCACCATTAATGTTACATTACAGGACTCAACAAACAAGACTGATTCTAATAGCTTGTTTTCTAGACCATTCAATGGTTTGACTCTGTTTAATCATATGGTTTCCAAGAGAAATGTCTAGAGACATTCACCAAAGTAGACCAGCTTCTTCTCTGAAACGACTAAATATTTAAAACCTTGCTGCTTCACACCCACAACTAAACCAGCGTGGTTTGAACTGAGTGACCACAAAGCTGACTGCCCATCATTACCAGCCCTGCCAGCCCTGCCCTTTTTATCACTAGCAGGGATGAAAAAAATGAGGTTGAGAGAAACAGAAAAGGCAGAGTGTAAAGCAAAACCCATGTCTCCTGAATGACCAGCTGCCAGACCGTTCTCTCTGGTCTCTGTTGGCTAAAGGGAATACATTAGACATTTTTCAAACGATTCTTGTGTACCCAGCAAAAAGATGCAATGTTATATTTTAAAAATTGTGACGCGGGTACAGGCTGTGCTCATAATTGTGACGTGGCATCCTCTCTACAAGCTGTTTCTCTACATTTCCAGTAACACTCTACAACTCACTGGGGGACTGAAGCAGAAGTTGCCAAACAGATCAATAATTCATCCACCCAAAACAGATTTTTACAATAAATTGCAAATGCAAAACTGATCTTTCTCTTGTGAAATTCTAGTGCATGTTTAAATCATAGAAACAAACCAACAAAAGAAAGTTATTATCCTGTTCACTGACCATCACTGATCACCTTTCTTTACCTGCTTCTTTGGAGAGTTGTGTGAAGGCCTCCACTCCCTTCTCTCCATAGCTTCCCTCTGAGGCGATGGTGGAGACGTAACTCCAGCCCAGGGCTCGGATAATGTCCACCATGGCCTGGGCCTGGAACGAGTCTGGAGGAACCACCCGTGAGAAGAAGTCATAGCGCCTGTCGTCACTCAACTCCGGGGCCGTTGACGCATAACTGATCTGTGGGATCTTAAAGAGAAGAAGTGGGGTCGGGAAGGAGAAGGGAACATTTAGTCATGTGTTTGTGTTATTCTGGTGCAACATCACAGGTCGTTGCTATGGTGACTAGTCTAAAAAAAATCCAGTTTTTGAATGGCTGTGTCCAAAATCAATCCCTTTTTACTACAACATGTACTACATTAACTGTGTGCCATTTTATTTGAGTGTCTAAATTCTGAGTGTGACATGTAAGCACAATATGCCCCCAGTTTAATGCTCACAATGGAACAAAAACTAGTGTCCCTGGCATGTATGCTAGAATTTTGCTAGCAATCCCACAATGGGTTGTGTCACATGTGATAGATGTGAAAATTACTGCACTTACCAGGGCTATATTTTGAGCTTATGGGAAATGTATTTCTTTTGGGAAATATTCTTATATGCTTCCTTGAGGAAAGTTAGAAGAGAAGATTGAAAACAAACTCCTGCTCTTGGCGAAGAAATGGTCCAGCAAATAACACCCTGTAAAACTACTACTTTTCGCTTTTACACTTAGATTTTTTTTTTTACAGATTAAACAAACAAGATACCATGTGTTAATTAGCAAGGCTAGCCATTTCCCCTGTTTCAAGCCCTTGTGTTAAGCTAACCTGCTGCTGGCTGTATATTGAATGTACAGACGTGAGAGTGGTAGCAATCTTCCCATCTAACTCTAAGCAGGAAAACAAATAACAGCGTTTCTCAAACTATCAAACTATTCCTTTAATGTTAACATGTTTAACTTCCACAGTGAAACATTTGCATCATATATAATATTTTACAACTTACACATGGGTCTCCCACCCATACAGACAATGATATTTGTCCCATTAAAATCGCACAACAACAGCACATCACCCGCGGCTCACAAGAGCAGATGATGGCTGAGGTTGAGAAAACGACTTGCAAAACAAATAAGCTAGACTTTTTTCATATATTTCATATTATCTTTGCAATCAATTGATCGTCTAAGACTATATTCACATTATGTAAGTATGTAATATTTTACATGGTCTATATTGGGTCTGTTACCTGGGCAACATGCTGTGCTGTCACTTTCTTTTCTTAACATATCAATGAAGTCTTATTGCAGAAAGGTCTTTGCTCCACTTTTTTATGAACTAGCAGCACAGCCTCTTAAGCGCTCTCTTACACTTCCCTCCCGTTGAGACGTTTAGATCCTCATCACCCTACAGCATATCCAAATATAAAATTTGAAGAATTCAGTATCTGTGCTACTTTTGTCTCTTCTATTTTACCCTATATTTCACCGACCACAGAGTTAAGCTAAGATGATACAGTACATAAAACAGACTGTAATACTTTGTCCACGAAGATCTAACATGTAACACTGGTTTGCAACCTGAACTATGGCAATATTGAAAAATATAACAATTTAAACAACAACATTCTTTACCATAAGAAAAATCTGAATTCAAGGTCCCCTTACTAGCCTATTCTGGAACTTTGAACCACATATGGAGCGACGCATGCGAGCTAATTCAGTCAACTTGAGCTACACTGAATCTTGATCATAAACCAAACACACCATCCCAATTGGGCGGGTCTATTTATGCTCAAAACTTTCCATCTCTCCCTCTGCTCTGTCAATGCCACTGCTGTCCTGCATCGGTACTGCTGCCTGTTCTTTAAACCCCACCACAACCCCAGCATCCACACGCAGGCTTCCTAGCCAGAAGGGGTTTAATATATTTCCTCATCACTCGCCAATACCTCTATGTAAACCTATCTGTTGGGAGTGATGAGGTCCGAGCCTGGACGCCAAACTCTAACTATGATGTACTGCTGCAATAAACATTTCACACGTGAGTTGTCTGACTGAACTCAAGGTCTTTCTAAGAGGATGGGGTTTCCTCAGTCGTCATGGAGATAGCTCAGTTATCATTGGCCACAAGGGTAACCCCTGTATCTGCACTTGATATATTTGACAAAAAACGTAACTCAAGGTCCACTTACCAGCCTTTATGGAGCTTTCAATTCCATTTTACAATCTTTCTTGGCTCTTTGAACAAAGACAGGGGTCATAAGGTGACCCGAGTTCCATTCTTAGGTCACATAATGACATATCGGCACAACGACTGGGTGAACTCCAATTGTTGAAGAAGTCTGTGAGATGTGGTTGAATGCTCCAGAAATAGCTTGTAAGGCTCGTAAAAAAAAAAAAAAAAAAAATCAAAGCCATCAAGGAAATAGTAAGTCAACATCTTTTTGTCAAACTACTGTTTCCAAGAACAAGAATGAATTTTCATTTGATTGGTATTTTTGCATTGGAGGTTGCATGTGTTAACTAATACGTATCTACTTTGTTTCCTCAAAAATTAAGCAGCATAATTACCACTATCAACTAACAACTGACACATACTATCTATCAACTGAACGGCGGACATGTAGATAAGGATATGCAACAGGCCACTTTTCCTAATGTCGATGAAACCCCTTAATGGCCTGCAGGTGTTCTTCTTCCCCCCTAACAAATCCTTAAATTGCTCAGCCAAGCTAGCAGAATTGCTCTAAGCATGGAAATGTCGATTGGTGAGTTGGTCTGTCTGTCCACTTTTCCTCTAGCACCACCAAGACTTTGACATTTGTGGTTTGAATGAAATATCTCAACAACTACTGCATGGATTACCATGAATTTATGTATTACCATCTGGTACACACATGGAGAGACGTAAAGAGATCTAGTATAAGGTGGTTCATAGTGCTGCCTGATCAAGTCCTAAACATCTCATCAGCCACTGTGTTTGAGGGTTTGAAACTGCAGTCAACCCCGGTGGCATATCTGGGATCAAAATGGCTACCTCCTATTAGACAGGTGGATGCACAAACAGGGGCTGACATCATTTTCTCTTGAACCCAGAGCAGTACCTCATCACACAGTCTAATCTAAGCACTGCCTGAATGCCATCCATTTCTGTTTCAGAATGATCAAAAGCAGTCGGACACTGGGGAAACATAGGAACGAGGACACAGCAGCTCGCTGATGGGATTGCTTCAACTCACAGAGTGTGAGTTATAGCTTTGACCCACAACTCAAAGAGAGTCAACCGCACAAAGCTGACAAATTGAGGAGCAGAGGAAGAGGTCAGACTCAAGAAGACCCAATATGTTTGAAGTTACCCAAAAATAAAATACCAACTACAAAATCAGAAAACACAAAATCTGTGACGCAATTAAGCAAATTCACATGTGGGAATGCTGCTGCGATGCCACAAGTAAAACCACTTGATGAGTGCCAAAATTGAGTGTACTGGGTCAAAGAGAGAGAACAGGAAAGTAATGAAAAAGCGACAGTGATTTGCATTTAAAAAGACCTTTCTTTCGAAAAAGGGAAGCATTTATTTGGAACATTTCATAGGGGATGTATCTTAACAGAGCTGCTGTAGTAATACTATGGAGTCAAAAGGTGTTATAGGTTTGTTGAATCACCTTCTATCTTCGCCCCAGTTGGGACAGAAAGCTGCTTGAACATTTGTCTCTCTGGAGCTTTTTGCTGCAGGGAACCATTTAAGATGGCAAAGTCTTTTCACTTTGTCCCAGGTTTGTACCCTGTTGATATAATTTCTACACTCCTTATTCCCAGGAAATCTACACACCTTGCAGTACAAACATAACGTTTTCAGCCTGTGCTTTTTTAATTACCATTTTGACCTCCAAGAACCAAAAGTGCTAAATCTTGATTGAGAAAATGCCGAGGTGTGAGGATTAAAGCTGGAATTATGATACAAGGAGATGCTGACAAACTAATACCGATTAGAATCTAACACCTTTGTATTTTTCTATCTGGCAGCTAATGGACTACAAATTAAGTGGAATGCATACTAGTAATTTAACCTTCTCTATAAAATAAGTAAATTAAAATCTTCTGAACTTCATTATGTCTTTCTCAGCAAATTACAAGCAACACAATTTTAGCTTTTCCACTTGAGTCACAGTTGCATGATTGATTCCCAGAATGGTTTCAACTAAATAAGCTCTTGTTGCAACAAATTGCAGCAGACTTTAGTGAAGAGATAATGCAGAGATAATATGGTGAGGAGAATGGATATTGTATCAACATTTTCGAATCGTTTTCTGTAAATAATTAGTTTGGAATAATCTTTCATCTATATAATGAATTTGCCTGTTTACAGTTGCAATTGATACTGCTTGCAATACTCCTCATTCGATTAGGACACTAAATCTATAATGTGAAATATGGCATCACACACGACAATGTGGTCTATGCTCCAGTAGCAACAAGGTGAAAGGGTGATGGCAATGCCTGCAAGCAGTCTGCATCGACAATGGCTACAACGACCATGAAACGATCATAAGCAACTGAATTCAAGCCAAGAAAGAATGATTAACGATGCCCCCTTTCAGTATCACAATTACCCAAAGCTGAAGTCTGGCACCTGTCATCTGCAGTATAGATCAAAGTTAGGATTGCTGAGGGTAATCGCCTGGCTTGTTCTTGAATGTATCTGGGCTGACAGGATCGATGGAGGGAAAACACAGAGGTCTGTTATAGGGGACACTGTTTTATTGATTTACCACCACAAAGTGCTGCGACCGCCCTGAATAAAAATCTGTTTCTGAAGTCTAAAGAAGGTTAAGAAAAAAGCTAGGCAGGGGTGGGAGGTGGTAGGTGGGGGGGGGGAGGGTGGTAATCTGCTTATTGACATTAAATGAGAATTTCAACCTGGGCGTTTAAAAGGAGAGGTGACTAAGCGAGGTTGTGTAAAGGTTAGACACGTTCACAGTAAGTGGGAATGCCAGGTGAAGTTAATTAGAGTGCCTTGGCCTTTCGGTTGCATTTTCACATACAGCAGCCCACAAGCACCTAGGGCAGCTCTAACGAAAGGTGAGAGACTGTGATGTTTGTGCTTTAACTGTCCTGCTCTGCTAATGTGAAGGTGATGATTCTTACTAGCTGAGAGCAACAATCGCATCTGTGGCTAGCTGTGCTGCTCTGCTCCGTCTTTTCT